GGCGCAATTGTGTTGGGAGAGGTAGAGTTTGGGTGGGGAAAAAATTGCGGTCCAGACTATTTTCCGGATACCGTGACAGGTAACCCACCTAGGTATATATGTGCGGGTATCAGCCGAGGGAGCAAGCAGGACGAACGACTCGGGCCGTTCCTCACTCCATTTTGGTCTGATACCGATGACGCTCTGCAACACTTGCAGCGCCAACAACCGTGCAGAGCCTTGTTTGTGACGTTGGACATATACAAAAATCCCAGCCAAGCTTGCCCGCCCCGACCAAGTCCCTCATGGAATTCGTCCTCGAGTTCTTTTCTCTGCTGCTGAAGCAGATCCATTGAGAAATAGGCTTTGCCAATAAGTTATTTGGGCTGTTTCTAAACCCAAAAGCTAAACAAGAAAAAGAAAAAAAAAAGGAGAAAAAGCTAGGAATCTCCGAAAAGTTCCGCATTTCACTTTTCCCTGGTGACAGCCGTCCTTCTTCCCTACTTACACCAGGCGCTAGATTGGCGTTTGTTTCTCTTTATCCTAGCACACATCGTGCTATAGGTCCCCTGCCTACCTACATAACCCACCTCGCCAAGTAAACAACCCCCATGCCTGCCAACCAACCGAAAACAATGGGGGAAGAGCAAGAACGGGGTTCCCCCGAGACCGACTCCCAACGCCATCGCAGCCCGCAGGGGGAGAAGATGGTTTCGGGCACCGACAGTCCCCCGCGCGAGGGGAGTATCGAAGCCGGGGACGACACGCACCGGAAGCTCAAGTCGCGCCACATCCAGCTGATTGGTTAGTTTTTTTGTGTCTACTGGGACAGTAACCTAACCAGTATAAAACAAGTCACACGGGCGCTAACATTATAACCCCGTCCTACCAGGCATCGGCGGCACCATCGGCACGGCCCTGTTCGTGCAGATCGGCAAGGGCCTCATCAACGGCGGGCCCGGCAGTCTGTTCCTAGCCTTCACGCTATGGTGCCTCCCCATCCTAGCCGTGACGCTCTGTATGGCCGAGATGGTGACGTACCTGCCCATCTCGTCGCCCTTCATCCGCTTCGCGGGCGACTACGTCGACCAGGCCCTGGGCTTCGCCGCCGGCTGGAACTTTTTCATCTTCGAGGCCGCGCTCGTGCCGTTCGAGATCACGGCCTGCAACCTCATCATCCGCTACTGGTCCTCGGCGTGAGTTTTCTTATTTTTTTTTTTTTGGTTGCGGGCCTGCTTTGTCGTCTCACTGAGAGTGCCACCTGCTGACAACTGGCTTGTAACGTGCAAACAGGGTCCCAACTGGAGCGATTATTGGCATCATGATTGTACTTTATGCGTGAGTGTTGACTCGTTGGCTACCCAGACCCCTATCCTGCAAGGAGCCTTGAGAAAAGGATCCAGACTGACCGCGGGCGGCACCTGATTAGGCTCATCAACGTTCTCGCGGTCGAATGGTACGGCGAGACCGAGTTTTGGGCTGCTGTGGGCAAGGTCCTGCTCATCGTCGCCCTCCTCATGTTCACCTTCATCGTCATGGTCGGCGGCAACCCTCTCGGTGACCGGTTTGGGTTTCGGTACGTCCACTCACCCTCGCTGGCAAGGGGTTTCAAAGCTCATTCCTCGTCGGCGGGCTAACTCTTTGCTCTCCCTGCAGAAACTGGTCTGACCCCGGTGCGTTCGCGGCGCTTTACAAGCCCGGGACTCTGGGGCAGTTCCTCGGGTTTCTCCAGTGTCTCATCCAAGCGTCTTTTACCATCGCCGGGTAAGCTCAACCCATCCTTCCGCTAGCTTCCAAGACTACACACTAACAGCAGTTTCTTTTTGTATAAAAAGACCAGACTACGTCGCCATGGCCGCGGGCGAGGCCGAGAACCCGAGGAAGGTGATGCCGCGGGCCTTTAATGCTGTCTTTGTACGCCGCCCACCACCATCAAAGCCCTCCCCGTATTGTTTCGCCACAGAAGACTGACAGCCCACCCCCCCAGTACCGCCTGACGACCTTCTTCGTCCTCGGCTCGCTCGCCGTCGGCGTCCTGGTGCCGTACAACGACGGGGAGCTCAACGACGCCTTCCGGCTCGACAAGCCCGGCGCGGCGGCCAGCCCCTACGTGGTGGCCATGAACCGGCTGCGCATCGGTGTGCTGCCCGAGTTCGTCAACGCCGCCGTCCTGACGGCCGCCTTCTCGGCCGGCAACAGCTACGTCTACTGCGCGTCCCGGTCGCTGTACGGGCTCGCGCTCGAGGGCAAGGCGCCGCGGCTTCTGGCAAGGTGCACGCGCGGGGGGGTGCCCGTCAACGCGGTCCTGGTCGTGCTCGCCATCTCGCTCGTCTCGTTCCTGCAGCTGTCAAACGGCGCGTCCGTGGTGCTGAGCTGGTTTGTGAACATCATCACGGCGTCGCAGCTTATCAACTATGCCGTCGTGTGCTTCACCTATACGCGCTTCCATGCCGCCCTGGCCGCCCAGGGGGTCGACAGGCGCGCCCTGCCCTACCGCGGCTGGTTCCAGCCCTACGCGGCCTGGATCGGCTTCGGCTGCTTCACTACCATGGCCTTTGTCGGGGGTTACACCGTCTTCCTGCCGGGCAAGTGGCGCGTGGCCGACTTTTTGTTCTCGTGAGCTTTTTCCCAATCTCCACGCTTGGCCGGCAGATACTAACGTCACGCCCTTTACGCTAGCTACACCATGATCGTGGTCACTCCGCTCTTGTTTGTGGGATGGAAGTTCTTCAAGGGCACCCGGTTCCTCGCGCCCGAGGAGGTTGATCTGAAAAGACATGTGCAAGAGATCGAGACATACGAGCAGAGCTACATCCCTCAGAGGTCAAAGTACGTCTTTCGGTTTCCCCATTCTGAATATCCCATCCCTCCAGCAATGGCTTCTCGCTAACATGGTTTGCCCAATCATCTAGACGCCTCTACGATAGGGTCTTGGATGTCCTTTTTGGGTGAGCACCGTAGGACTGGACCGAGTATACAGAAGGATATTTGCTCGGATGTATTGGCGAGGGCGAGTGAGCGATAGATCAAAATAAGGGGTTGGGTGGGTTCTTGGACTGATGGTGTGTTAAAGTGGCGAGTGCGGACGTAAATAATGCATTCGCCGGATTGTGATGCCAAGAAGTGGCCAAAAATACATAGCCATCGGCGTTTTCGTCCGTGTTCGCATGCTGACCAGTAGTCGTTGTTTGGCTATCTCAGACTTTGGTCCTCTCAGAGCGAGCTTCCCCGCACTTCACCCCAACGTCGGCTCGTTTCCGATATAAAGAACCCTCCCATCCGCTACCTTCTTCCATCACATCTACACCGCAAAACCACGCTCGGCTCTCGAGACCAGCAGCCGAGAGACAAGACGATGGCAGCACCCATCCCCCGCCACATCCACTCCTCGAAGCCGCACTTCCAATGGTCGCGGGACCTCGAGCCGGTTCTGAGGGTGGCCTCGGGGTCCGAGGTGACGCTGGACCTGCGCGACGGCGGCAACAACCAGATCCGGCCCGACAACATCGCCACGGCCATGTCGTCCTTTGACGCGTCGCAGGCGGACCCGGCAATAGGCCCCATCTACGTCGAGGGCTGCGAGCCGGGGGACGTGCTCAAGGTCGAGATCCTCGAGCTCACGCCCGGCGACTATGGCTGGACGGGCATCTTCCCGGGCTTCGGCCTGCTGGCCGACGAGTTCACCGAGGCGGCCGTGCCCGACGCCGCGCAGCGCGTCAAGCTCTGGGACCTGACGGCGGCTGGCTGCATCACTGCTGGCAGCAGCAGCTCTGGTGGCCGCCGAGCCGTCTTCAAGCCGGGCGTCTCGGTGCCCATCCGGCCGTTCCTGGGCGTGCTGGGCGTGGCGCCGGCGGGGGCCGAGGCGCTGTCGACGCTGGCGCCGCACCCGCGCATCGGCGGCAACCTCGACTGCCGCCACCTCGTGGCCGGCGCCGCCGTCTACTTTTCCGCGCAGGTGGCGGGGGCCCTGCTCAGCGCCGGCGACGGGCACGCGGCGCAGGGCGACGGCGAGGTGTGCGGGACGGCCATCGAGACGCCGATGCGGGCGCGGCTGCGCCTGACGGTCGAGAAGAGAGGCGGCGACGGCGGCGGCAAAGGGAAGAAGAAGTTGGGGTCGCTGCTGCTGACGTCGCCGCACGTGCTGGCGCCGCCCGATCCGATCGACGCCGAGGAGCTGGCGTCGGGCGGCAGGTACGTGGCGCTCGGGGTCGGGCCGGACCCGCGCGAGGCGGCGCGCGAGGCCGTCAGGGGCCTGCTGGGTTGGCTCGAGGCCGACAAGGGGCTGAGCAGGCCCGAGGCCTACATGCTGGCGTCGGTGGCCGCGAGCCTGGCGCTGGCCGAGGTGGTGGACATGCCAAACTACTGCGTCTCGTGCTCGATACCGCTGAGGACGTTTGAGGAGTGGCGATTGGCGTGCGTGTTGTTGTTATCTGATGCTCAAACTGGCCAATGGCACGGCATATGCGCCGCACGAGGAGTACTAAATATATCACCGCTGCCACTGAAGCTACAGTGCTTCCAGCAGTGGCCGTGGTGGTGGCATCGCTGAAAAATTGACCAGTTCCAGCCCAACCACACAGCCAAAGATTGCCCGAAATGGAAGCTGCGCTCCGACCACTGCAAGGGTAATCCCTGCCCGACGTCTCCAACATCGTCATTCCATGCAAGATCTGACTGCACGCAACGGCGGCAACCTGAAATCTCCATATCTCGGCCTCGGAATTTGACCTGATGGCGGGCGCGTATAGCGTATAGCGTCCACCCACCACCCACGTGGGATCCTCGAATAACACAATCCGCTTCTTTCCGTTGTGCTTCTTACTCCACCAGCCCTCCTCTTATACCAGACCTACGATACTTGTGTGGTTTTCATCAACACACCAGACAGACAGCCCACCAAGATGGCCTTCACAATGCACTCCCACTCGGGGCAGTTCTGCCCCGGCCACGCCAAAGACCAGCTCGAGGACATCGTCCTCCACGCCATAGAGCTTGGATACAAGACCATGGGACTCACCGAGCACATGCCGCGTACCCATCTCTGCGACCTCTACCCAGACGAGGTGCGTTCCCCTTCTCTGCCGTCTTCTTTCCTCGGCCCCCCCCCCCCTCTCACTCCTCGCAAGAGCAGTACAGAGCTGATACACCAACCCGCCCGCAAGCTCGACCCCGACCCCAGCGGCGCCCTCGCGGCCCTGGCGCCCCGGCACGCCGCCTACCTGGCCGAGGCGCGGCGGCTGCAGGCCAAGTACGCGGGCCGCATCGAGCTGCTGGTCGGGTTCGAAGCCGAGTTCATCCGCGCCTCCGACTACGCGCCCTACGTGCGCGCCCTGGCCGCCGACGCCGGCGTCGACTACTTCATCGGCTCGCTCCACCACGCCGCCGGCGGCGTGCCGCTCGACTTTGACGCCGCCCACTACCGGCGCGCCGTCGGGGCCGTCGGCGGGTCCGAGGAGTCCCTGCAGGCCGCCTACTACGACGAGCAGCTCGCCATGCTCGAGGCCCTGCGGCCCCGCGTCGTCGGCCACTTTGACCTGGTGCGCCTGCTGAGCGCGGACCCGGGGAGGGACGTGAGCCTCTGGTCGCCGGAGCTAGTGTGGCCGCGCGCGAGGCGGAACCTGGCCTTCGTCGCGGGCTACGGCGGCTGGCTCGAGTGCAACACCAGCGCCCTGCGCAAGGGGCTCGACGAGCCCTACCCATCGAGGCCTGTGGCCGAGGTACGTTCCTGGTACTTTTTGTTTCTTCTTGCCTTTCCAATCGACTATTAACTTGGGCGGGAACTGGCATAACGCAAATAAAGGAGTGGCTACGTCTCGGCGGCAAGTTCACGTTTTCCGACGACAGCCACGGCATCGCCCAGCTGGCAACAAACTACTCGCGCGGCCTCGACTACCTCGAGTCCCTGGGCGTCACCGAGCTCTGGACCTTTGAGAGGCGAGTGGGTAACGATGGGTCAAAGGCCGAGATTGTCGACAAGTGTGTGACGATATCCGACTTTAGAGCCTCGCTAAAGCCCGTGGGCGCGGCCAAAGTATAGAGACAGAGGTGACATTTCTTAGAGGCGAGACGGTATGGCGGGCTATCATGACATACGATAGAAGCCAGACAGACCAGAGCTAGACTAGAATTAGAAGGGAGCCAAAGTTGGCAAATGAGCGCAGCATGCTACGCAGAACGCCCACTTGACTCCACTCACGCCGCAACAGAGAACAGCGGCAAAGACCACGCGATTCGAATACACTAATGTATGGGGTATCGGTATTACACGCTTGCGCTCTAGAAAGCAGCAGGCGTCTGGAATCTTGCAACTCCTACCACAGTGGCAAGACCAACAAAGACAAGCCAAATGATAATATAATGGAAAATGAGCAAACAAGACCAACAACGAACGACGAGCCGTGAGCCCCCAATCTAACAGGAATAATGGGAATAATGGGAATAAAATGCAATCAACAACAAGAAACCAAAGCCGAAGCGACGACGCGCCCCGGTAACAACAAGCAGACTGATTTCGCTGACCCTTCTAAAAAAAAAACATCCAACACCGTCTACACCATTCGCGCCCCCGCAATAGGCGGTCATTCTTCATGTTTCCCCCTTCTTCCCCCGCTCCCCTTCTGCCAACGCCTCGCAAAGCACTCGCCACGTGCGGCAGCAAATGGCACACGCGAAAAGAATAACGCCAGCCCCAGGCGGCAGAGCGAGACCGTCATATCGAATCCCCCACAGACCAGTGCAGAAATCCCTCATTTCTGCCGTGGAGTTTCTGGTGCGTCCGAGCCGCCCGCGAGGTCCGTAGCACCAGCCGCCCGCGGCGGCGAGCCGGCAAAGGGTATGGCCGACGTAGACGTGAACACGGGCAGCTCCTGACGCTTCATAGGCGAGGGGGTGCCCGCGTTGGGCGGCAGCCACTGCAGAGCCGGCTGTGGTTGCGGCACCGCCTTCGGTGACGGGCCCTCGGGCTGAAACTGCACAAACACGTCCGGCGTCAGCGGCCCAGGGGGGATCGTGGTCGGAGAGCTGTGGCTGTTGGCTGGCGACAGAGCTGGCGGCTGGTGCGCGTGCGCGAGGGTCGGTGACGGGGCGGGCGTCACGTCCTTCTCCTTCTTGGTCGCCTTCTTCGTGCCCGAGGAAGACGACTGTATCCTCTCCGGAGCGCTGCCCGCCACCAGCACCGGCGGAAGCCGCTCCTCTGTCGGCGTCGACACGCTAGGACCCTTATTGCCGGGCTTGATGGCCGCCGTCCCCGACTTGGCCTTCTCGGCCTTCTCGCGTGCCTCTTTCTGGTCCTTAGTTAGGAGCGTTATCTTGATCTTCTTGAAACCAGACGTGATGCCGTCCATGTCGTCATTGACAGTGCTTGTAGCCGCAGTCGAACCGGCTCGGCTCGATGTCGATGCCGAGTCAAACGCTTTGGCTCGAGAAGCTACGGATGCTGCAGATGATGTGGTCTGTGCCTTGGTCGTTGTGGGAGCCGGTGCCGCAACTTTCGCTGCAACATTAGCCGGCTTAAGCGGCGGAGACGTCTTCTTCACGGTCCGCGTGGCCTTGACGGGGGCTTCCTTCTTTGCCGCGACGGTCCTAGTCTTCTTAACGGCCTGTGAGTTGCCGGCACCAGGTGGGGCGCGCACACTAGCCGATGACTCCGGCCGAATGCTTTGTGAAGTTCCGGGTCTACCCACATGGGCATTGACAGTCAGAGTTTGTGGTACAGGTGGCTTCTCAGGAACCTCGGACAAAACCGCCGACGCATCACTAAGGCGTCGCGCGAGTGCTTTGGATTTAGCAGCACCAGTCCCAGGTACACCGCGAGCGGTCGCCTGTGTTGCGTGTTAGTAAGGGACCGGGTCCGAAAAAGAAGCTTGAACACAGAAGCCTTACCTTCTCGGACGCAAGCAGCGATGTTCCAGCGACAGTCTTACGACGGCTGCTAGCCTTCAGAAACTCATTCTCGTCCTCTTCTACATAAGACTTGACCACCTTGCGTTCCCGCAATGACATCCTAGTCGGCACGGGCGCGGGAGTGGCAGAGGTCGGCCCGTCTGTCGACTCTCCCAACGCAAGAGACTGGCGGTCTCGCCGCTGGCGCGTTGCCTCGGCATTCAGGTCCTCGTGAGTACAGCTGTCGGTCTGCCGTTCGCTAGGTACTAGCAGCTTGCTGAGCTCGTATGCCGCCGTTGTCCACGGCACATCCGGTGGAGGAGGCGAAGGCGCCCTCGAGCTAGGCGAGAGCGACATTCCCGAGAAACTCCGGCGGACTTTTGGCGTGTAGGATGCTTTGGCCTGCGAAGACTGCGTGGGCGACGAGTATGTGGGCGGGAAGAGATTGCGCGGTTTCTTGGCATCTATCGATGGAGGGGGAGCCATGGTAGCCTCAAGATGCTCGAGCTCAGCGAGGCTCCACCAGGTCGGCTCGTATGGCGTAAGGGGTATGATGTTCTTGAGGTTGAGAGATTCCCTGCGGCTGTGAGTTGCCAGCGATGTCTTGCGGCTGTGGGAGGGTGTCTCGCCAAGCTTCTGGCCCATATCGAAGGCCAGTCCGTTAAACTGGTCCTGCTTGGCGGTCGGGGCCGGGTCGTCGCCAGCCAGGCCGCTCAAGTGGCTCAGGATGCCCGACGAGAGGGCACGGTCGCTGTAACCGCCCTCCAGCACGCTAATCACCCTGCCATCAACGCTCGTGCCCTCCTCGGCGGCAATCTTGACCACATCCCGCGTGAGGCGGGCGTAGAACTCGGTGGGAACGTTGACGTTGTGTCGTTGCATGCCAGACCCCTCGTGCTCGCTGGCGTCAAATCCGGCAGACAGGAAGATTGCGCCCTTGACGTTCTGGTTCACGGAGCGGAACCTATCTGTCTGAGCCCGGAGGAACTCTCGTGTCTTCTCGAGCAAAATCGAGTACTTGGTCTCGTACAGGCGCCAGAAATCGGCCTCGGTTTTCCAAGGCATCAGGTGCACGTTCCAGATGTTCTGGCCGTGAGCGTTCTCAATGCACAGGCTCGCGTTCTTCACCTTCTCCTCGTCGCCCATCTCACAGGGATACGAGTTGATGTCGTGCAGACTGAAGTAGCCGATCGACGTCTTCTTCCACCAGGCCGCGTTCTTGGCCAGGCCGACGCTGCGCGCATTGTGCTGCCACGCGATCGCCTGCGACCCATCGCCGTGGTGCAGATCGAAATCGATAATGGCCGCGTGCGTGAGCCCGTGGCTCTGGATGGCGTGCATGATACCCACGTGCACGTTGTTCACCCAACAGAAGCCTGACGGATACGAGGCCGAGCAGTGGTGGCCAGGAGGGCGTATGGCCACAAAAGCTCGCCTCGCCGGATTCATGTGACTAAATACGGCGTCGACGGCCTCGCAAACACCACCCAGGGAGCCCTCAAGCGCATCCAGCGACTCGGCGCAGAGGTAGAGATCTCCCTCGTGGAACTTTTGCGGGGCGCCCTGCTGGTCCGGGCCACGGTTCATCTCGGGCCGCGCCAGCTCCTTGCCGTTCGTGGCAAGCTTGGACTCGGCCGTTTCGCACATCAGTTTCAGCTCCTCCATCCATTTGGTGCCATGGACGTTGGTCACCGTCTGCGAGCTAAGAGAAAGTCGGCGCGTGGTCTTGTGGATCCGGAACGGGACCGAGACGATCGAGGCAGGATCGAGCCTTGGATGGATAGGATTGGCTCCGTCCGCATGCCGCTCGCCCAGGCGAACGTAGGCTGCGGCCACGCCGAGTGCACTGGCCTTGAGCCTTTCGGGGCGCTCCACTATGGTGCCCAGGCCGACCTTGGAGGTCCGGGGCCGCGAGTATCTGTGGCCGTAGCAGCTGTCGTGCATTACGACGACCGTTTCGGATGTCAGATCGAGCTTTTCGCCGTGGCGGACGGCCAGCTCGGTCCTGAAGTAATCGCTGGCGACCGCGGCCGCCGTAGGCGCGGGCTTCGCCTCGGGAGGCGAGGGGCTGAGGGGGGAACGCGGGCCGTTTGGCGACTTGACGGAGCTCGCGCGGCGGAGCGGCGCGGCGCCCATAGCGCTCGCGGACCGGATCGAGTTAAGCGAGGCCTTGCGCAGCAGGTTTGGGGGGTCGGCGCGTGATTCGGAGCGGGCAGCACCCAGGGAGGCGCGAGACGCGGGGCCCCGGACGCTCATGGAGCTCGGAGAACGATTGCTAGGGGAGATGGGCGATCGCGAGCTCATCGAGGTGGACGAGCGGGCAGCCAAGTGGCCTGCGTTCGGAGAGGATCGGGACTGGGCGATGGAGAGGCGCTTGAGCGAGTTTGCCAGGTCGCCATCATCCCCGCGACTGGTGCCTTTGCTGGGCGTGGGTTTCCGCGCGGGCGAGCTGTACGACGCCATGGCTGCGGTCCGCGCCCAAGCTCAGTGGCTTGGGATCTCTAGAATATTGATGCTATGTGAGCACGGCTCGGCGGCGACCTTGTGTTCTGGATTGCAATGCCGAGGCTGTTGTTGGTCGCGACGTGCTACGTACTTGTCGACGTTGCAGTTGCAGACGGAAAGGGGGGCATCAAATTGTGCAGACAGGGACGCGCCTGCCACTAGCTTAACCGCGTCTCACCTGGCGTCGTCATAATACATGCTTGAACGGCAGGCCCACTCCGTTTCAGTTGCAGGGACCACTGAGGCCGCTGGGATCTCGGGTGAACGTGTGGTGGCCCACTTCCATGGCGAGGCAGGCACGGGGAAGAGCCGTGGTACCGCCTATGGAAAGAATACCTGGAAAGAATACCACCCTCCCCCAAAACCAACGTCGGTTGCGGATGGCGCATTGTTGCGAATCAAGTCGGAGCTTCGTTGTGTTTCATTAACGTCTATCCAACGCGCCGACCAGCACCTGTCGGGCTGCACCGGAAACTTCCATGGATGGCAGGCATGGATTGCCCGTTCATCAACGCCATCACTAGTAATTCCCTGAGGATAAGAACACAATTCTTCCCGCCTCAGATCACCCAGGCTCCCCTGATGAACGAACGGACATCTCATTTCCCTAGCGCCGGAAGAAGGTAAACTGACAGCCTCCCAGCCTCCAACTTGCCGACCAACTGCCAATCCCGGCATTCCTTCACAGTCTCCTCCCTCCGTCCACCCTATTTCCGGATTAGGAACAGCTAAGTGGGGGAAGCTAATCGTTGCCATTTGTTCCCACCGAAAGAGCAGTAAGGCAGACAAGACAGCAGGCACTTAGGCACAACGGAAACCGTCGCTATGCACACCATGGCGGAAATCACGCACACCCGACGTCAATAATACATCCACCAGACTACACGCTCCCCAGCACAGCAAAAGTGAGGTGAGGCTCTGGGAGCTGGAGTTGGAGCCGGGTCTGGAGCGAAAGAAGACGGCCACCCCTCAGTGCTACGTGTCGCATCCCTGCAAGCTCATGCTGCTGCCAAGCAGTTAGCACTGCATCCTGCAACCATCACTGGCGATGGTTGCCCCGTTTGTGCACCTCTTGGCCCTTAGCTGAAATGCACCTCGCCAGGTGCCCCGCCCGGCTGCTGTGAGTGATGGCGATTTTGGGCGTTGGCAATAAAGTCCCGATGTGCCTATCAGGCGGATATCTCGGCGTATTTTCCATGAGATGTTTATGGTTGTCATACATGGGGGACGCCTATTTAGACTCCCCCATCCCCCTAGTTCACTTACACCATCTGGAACAGCAGACGTGATATGAACTGTTCGTAGACAGCTCTCCCTAGTAGTTGGACTAGTAAAATATCCCCAACCACTACGCATCACACTATAATGGGTTGGATATCCCTCCTCCTCTTGCTGGCGCCCGGCGTCCTCGCCAACTTGGACACCTTCCCCATCGACCGCGTCGGCCCCATCGAGGCAGCCGACGTGGACTCGTGCAGGGCGGGTGCGAGCGGTAGGTTCACCACAGCCCCCCTGGACACCATATATCACACTGTTACTCTACTCGTCTGGTTGGTAACCGACACTGACGACCAAGCCCCGCGCTGCCGCGTCCAACAGTCCTCTCCGTGTGCGCGGCCCGAACGGACTTTCCGGACATGCCCGTAGCGTCGCAGGCCAAGTGCGCCTGCTGCGTCGGCACGAGCAACGTCGCTTCCGAATACCGGGGCTGCGCGACCTACCTCCGCACCGCCCTGCCCTCCGAGACGGCGCTGTACACCACCAACCTGTTGCTCGCCTCGGCCTGCTCCGTCAACAGCGCCCTCTGCGCCGACTCGGCCACGGCCCCGCCGGCGGGGAGCGCCACCGGGACGCCTACCACCACCAGCACCCGCCGTTCCACCACCACGGCCCCGCAGGACCCCGCGGCGTGCTCGTCCCTCCGCTCAATCCTCACATCGTGCTCGAAGGCAGTGCCGTCGTTCTTTGACGCCCCAGGGAGCTCGCAGGCTTCGTGCGTCTGGTATGGCCCCCCCAATCCATCACCCCCTTATCGGCAGTTTTGTCCCTTCCACCTCGAGTTTCCACAAATCCTAACATTCCTACGTGACACGCAACGAAGCTACAACACCATCGGCGGCACATTCACGACCGCGTTCGACCGCTTCGCCTCGTCGTGCGCCTCGTACTACAGGACGGCCAGCCCAACCCTCTACAGCAGTGAGTTGTTCCATCCCCCCTCCCGAACCCGGCGTCTCCCTCCTCCGAGGCTGACATAATCCTCGAACACGACAAATAGCCATCAGGTCCCTGTCCACCTTTTGCTCGGGACGACAGGACGCTGCCGCCGAGACGGACAGGGGCAACCCCTGGTTTCCACCGGACATGACGTCGGCCTCGCCCGACGTCACCACGACCCCGCCGCCTTCCTTCTCGGGGACGACAACGGTCACGAGCTTGGGCGCAGGGTCCACGTCAACCTCGTCGGCCCAGGCCGGTCGGCCGATTGCCGCGTCGGGTCCGGTAGGCTGGATTGCAAGCTCGTGGACGTTTCTTGTCTCCCTTTTCATTCTCGTCTGAGCTCAACTTAGCAAACGAGTAATTTCGCGCTAGATGTATGCGAGTATGGCTTGGGCCGACCTGGGAATGCGCAGAGGCTACTACCTCATGAAGGAGCCTTGGAGCCGACTAGCATGATGGACGGGGGCACATCCTTCCAGCGGGCTGATATGGGGGAGCATATCGAGTTTATATACTCAATTACAATCCTTACGAGGGCTACTCCTCCTTAAGGTCTACTCCCACCCTCTTCAGTGCATCCACAGCCCAATCAGGGTAGTCTGTCTGGTTCGGGTAGAGGTCTGCAAAGAATGTCTTCACAACTGCCGGAAACCTGTCCTGAATTATGGAGTCTCGAATCTCCCTCATGAGATTGAGCTGGTACCAGACGTTGTGCAATGTCAAAAGATGTGCCGAGACCGTCTCCTTGGCCGCGTTGTGGTGCACAAGTGCGCGCGTGACGCCGGTGCCGCCCTCGGCAGTGGGCTTGCAGCAAACACAGCCGCAGCCCTCCTCTATGGGTCCAAAGTCGGCAGCGTACTTTGAGTTGCGCAGGTTGAGCATACCATGACTTGTGATGGCGTTCCCGAAACGCGCCGTGCGGGTAGGCCAAACACAGTCGAACATGTCGGCGCCCAGGGCCACGCTGACGACCAGGTCCTCCGGGTAGCCAATGCCCATGACGTAGCGGGGCTTGAGGTCAGGGAGCAGAGCGGTGCAGGTCTCGACGACGCGGCAGTAGTCGTCCTTGGCCTCGCCGCCGCTCAGGCCGCCGATGGCGATTCCGGGGGTGTCGAGGTCCACCATGGCCTCGGTGCACTCGCGGCGCATGTCGAGGTCAAGCCCGCCCTGAATAATACAAAAGAGGTTCTGGGACTCGGGCTTGCGATGGGCGGCGATGCAGCGTTTGAGCCAGCGGATACTACGCTCCATGGCCTCGCGCATGCGGGCGGCGTCGGGCGAGGTGGTGACGAGGACGTCGTCGAGCTGCATCATGATGTCGGACCCGATGCTGTTCTGCAGCGACATGGAGTGCTCCGGGGTCAGCAGCATGGGCGAACCGTCGTGGGGCGACAGGAAGCGCACGCCCTCCTCGGTGATGGTGGCCAGCTTGAGCAGCGACACCATCTGGAAGCCGCCGCTGTCGGTCAGCAGGTTGTGCCGCCAGCCCTGGAAGCGGTGGGCGCCGCCGACGGCATCGAGAACCGACTGACCCGGCTTAAGGCCGAGATGGTATGTGTTGTTAAGGCAGAGCCGGCAGCCCGTGTCCTCTAGCTGCTGGGGTGTCAGGCCCTTGAGCGAGGCCTGCGTCGCCACCGGCATAAAGACGGGCAGTTTGACCGGGCCATGGGGAAGGGTCAGGATGGACGCGCGGGCGCGGGTGGTCTAGGTGACGAGTGTTAGGTGTCTGGGCCGATCTATGTCCGAGATGCCAGCGCCCAGCCCCCCATGGCCCATGCAGCTATATCTGCATGTGTAGCATCTGGCTCTCTGTCTGTCTAGCTGCAGTCTTGCGAGGATGCGGCAAGGGTGGAGTCCCCGCAGGAGTGGCAGCTCGGCGGGGCGGCTCCCGCTACTCTTCTTCCACGCCGCTCCCGAACGCCCGAGCCGTAGCCTCCTGCAGCCCACTCTGTTCGACCCAGAGTACCGGATCGCTCCGGGGAGTGTGGAGCTCCACAAAACTTACAGAACACCGAGCCACGAGCTCAAACGTGAGCGCCCCGTGGGTGGCCGAGGCTGAGGCCGAGGCCATCATGGCGCACCCAGCGTTTTCCCGTCGTCACCCGAGAGTGCCTCCACGCTCGCGGCCGCTTGGTTCTTGCCGTGGAGATGGTTGCTGTGCCTCCTGTGCTGGCGTCTCTCGAGTGAGCGCTCTACCCGACACCACGAGGTGGGATCTCCCGAGACACAAGTCCGATGTTCTAGTGCGGTGGCCTCTGGTGCAGGTACCTCGGGGATGCCCAGGATTTGCAACTTGAAATATTGGATCAATTGATGGGTGTCTGTCAGCCCCGACCGATCTGCTTGACATGGATTCAGGCGTGGTGAACCATTTTTTCTTCGCATCCAAACCTGCCGCTCTCATGTGGCGCCCCTCCATTGTGGGGCAGGTTGCTGCCTGTCCCTTGCAGCTCCTCTCCCCCACCAAGAGAGTGGTAGATGTTTATATTGTTTTTCTTCCTCATTCAAGAAGCAAAATTTTGTTATATCTCGTGACAACAAGCCCGTACTGTACCTACAGGTTTATTCCAGATGTCAGTGCAGATGTGTCCGTTACGGCGGCCAAGGTAGCATTGCCGGTCTTGGTCGCTTCCTTTTCTGTTCTCCCAGTCCAGCAATCGTATCAATCAGAGTGTTCCCGAGTTTGGCAAGTGTTGTTTTGCACACCCGGCCTCCATGACTCCGACAATCCCCATCAGATGGGGCTGGGAGCCTCCTCCTCGCTGTCATACCCATCCCATATGATTCGCGGGAGAACCGCAGGCCGCCACAGGGACGGGGAACCCCACCAGGCCCCTCCGCTGGGGCCCAGACCAACGCGGTGCCTTCGAAAAAGCACCTGACATTCCACTTTTTTTTATATCGCTACAACCTCAAAGTCAGCTCACTTTTGCGCACCTTGACGTTTTGAGTTTTTCTCGTGTGCTACAACCCCGAGATTGACCAGGTTAACGAACTTGCCTCGCCCGCTCCGCGTTCTGCCAGATCCAGGGTCGCCTTCTGCAGCTCCCTGGCGGCTGCCGCTGGCCCTGGTGACCGCTCCTACTGGTAGCTCGCTTGGCATTGGTCCGAATATTGGGCTTGGTGCCCAAGCCTTTTTTGGACCAACCGCACCCAACGAAACCTAACAGGGCAAGGGCGGGCTGAGAAGCCTGCCCCATCCCATCCGCGCTGGGAGTCTCAGCCTCCGTCACCGACACGTCCTTCAGGTGCGTTCGGTGCGTAAAATGTACGTGCCGACAAGTTCGGGTGCAAGCGGGGCTGGGCTGCCTGCCATGCACCTCTTGCTGATCTTTGCGACCCGCCCTGCCCTGCCCTGCCACCCACACTCCCACCCACCCATTCTTCCCTTTAACGCCCAGTGACGCCCAAGAAAGTCACTTGGCTCCAAGAAATTAATCCATGACGGTCGGAATGGCTCGCCGCGCTCCTTGTGGCTGCCGCCAAGAATGACGGTCTTAGCATCCTTCTCCATGCAATGCAACCGCAGGACAAGAAAAAGGGGGCGGAAATCACCGTGGTAAGAAAAGAAAAACGTCGTTTCCAGGGCAAGGACCACCGCTTTTCGCAACCGCGCTGGATAGCCCAGGGGTGTACACCAAAGATCAGAAAAGAACCAGCCCAGACTCCTGTCCACGCGACAGACCCCCTTCATCCGGGAGCATCCACGAATCGAGGTGGAGTTGGCAGGTGCGTATCCGCAGGGTTGTGGCCCGAAAGAAAAGAAACAGGAACCCATCCGCTGGTGGTGGCCAACCGCCCCGGCACCAGCCCGATCCAAGCCCCCAAGCTATAACGTCAACACGTATGTATCCAGGCTGACCTAATTCCTAGGCAGGGGCTATCCCGGCTTGCTTGAATGTCGCCCGCACCGGTCCCCCTCCGCATGCAATATTAGATGGCAATGCGCCCTCGTGATGGGTATTGCCTTTGAATTGCTGCAATGCTATAACCCCTTTGTTATTCCCATCCCTTTTCCCTTTGACGGGCTTGGGCCTTATTACCTTCACCTCCCTCCTGTCTGCCGTCGCAGTCTTCCTACCGTCTCGTCCTCGCAGCTCCTGAGCCGAACATCGACACCCCAAACTACAAACACAATGTCGTTCACTCTCTTTTCCTCCCTCCCGACTGAGCTCCGCCTCCAGATATGGCGAGCGAGCTTCCAACCTCGTGCTGTCGAGGTCAGGTACCAGCCTGAGACGGACGAGTGCCACACCATCACCCACCCCCCGGCTGTGCTTCAGGTCTGCCACGAGTCGCGGGAAGAGGCGGCGCGGCACTACCGCAAGGCCTTTGGCACCAAAACACACGAGGCAACCATCTTTTTCAACCCTTCCATCGACATCCTTTACATCCCGCGCCACCGGCCCATGGGCTACGATGAGACTTCGCGAGATTTCTCCAGCTACATCCTCGAGACCGCTGCACACATCGAGAGGCTAGCCGTCGACCACGTGCTCCCCGACGTTAAGCGCCCCTGGGAGACGTACAACAAGCTCTGTCTGATGCTGGGACTTCCCAACCTGAAGGAAGCATACATCATCATTTCGACCGAGTCTGACGATGGAAAGGCTGGTGCTGGCATGGAGATTGAGCTCATCGACCCCAAGGAGGACCAGGCCGCTATTCTGCGGCTGATGGAGGACATCGAGCAAACCTACTCCCACGAGATCGGCGAGATCTTCTGGGAGAAGGAGGGAGAAGTCGAGGACGTGACTCCGGGCGACGAACAGCAAGACTTCAACGATCACCACCACAACCACCATCTCACGTACCCTCCGATTGTTCCCAAAGCCAAGCTCTCTCACGTCTGGGAGAAGCACAGTCCCTTGGTCAACTGCCTTTGAGCAAAGGCGGGACACTCAAAATCACCTACGATCTCAACAAGCAATACGATTTCCTAATATTCGAGCTCCAGTCCGTCGCGGACTGCAGCTGGCACTGTATGATACGACCGGACGACACGACGACCAGCGTTGGCTTTCCACAGCATCCTTCAATGGACGGCAGGGTTAAAAAGGGTCCGGACAAAATTAGACGGTGGACTTTTCACTGACGGCGGCAGTAATGGCTATTTAATGTTTATTGCTTTTATGGTTTGCGCGGTGCTTTTGCAGATAGTTAGGGGCCTTAGATTAGCCATAAAGCACCACCATCTTTATTGCAATATTTCCTTCTGCAGCACGAAGGGCGGGTGATCGACGCGCCCTGTTCAAGTTCGAAGGATTTGTATGCGGGCTTGCCGATTGTTTCGGCGTGGGTGCACGTCAACTAAACAAAAGTGTGCGCGTCTAACAACGCTAACCTATCCTGTAGGGTTTCTTATTTATTTTTTCCCATCCTCTTTCCTGCTGGTGTTGTTTCCGCTTTTTAACCTTTCAAATAGTGCAGGCTTTCATTTGGAGAAGATGGGGCATGACGAGTAAACATCAGACATAGTATGAACCGGGAACATAATAATACATGCGGTCAACAAACACATTTGAGCATCACAGCGCGGCAGCACGGCAGCGTGGCGGTGTGTGATTGATCTCGCATCTGGCAGCAAAAGCAAAGATTAGGTATTCGCCATGATGTCACCGAATGGAAATGAAATCAAGGTACTCGTACCTCCCACTTGCATCGATGGTGGCTCAACACCAACCGATTGAGAAGTCGCCAAATGAGTTGAGATGGATGGGCCTCGTGAAAGCGAGGGTCATGTGATGGATCGCCGACATAGGAGCCGATTCGCGACCCAAACGACCAGACCAATCCACCAAACACACCTAAGCCCGCTCACGTGATACCAACATACCCTTTCTCCCTATGGGAGCCCGCTGAGAATGCCTCTTCGGCCAAACTTGCGGGCGACTACTCCGCCGTCGATATGGCGCAGCGCAGCACCTCAAACGACAGGCCGCGCATCCTGGGCGCGGAACAAGTCGTCGTCGGCGAGCGAGCCGCCGTCTTCCCCACCCCCGACGGCGGCTGCCGCCAGTGAGCAGCAGCCCCCGCCGCCCAGCAGCCAGAGGCCCGCGCTCAGGAACGGGCGGCCCATGCGCATGGCCGTCGTCGGCTCCGGCCCGGCCGGCTTCTACACGGCGCACCGGGTCATGTCGAGGCTGCAGGACGCGCGGGTAGACATGTACGAGGCCCTGCCCGTCCCCTTCGGGCTCGTCCGCTTCGGTGTCGCGCCGGACCACCCCGAGGTCAAGAACTGCCAGGCCCGGTTCGACGAGATCGCGAGCTCGCCCAACTTCACCTTTGTCGGCAACACGGCCGTCGGCGCCCCCAGCGGCCACAAGGGCGGTGGTAGCCTCCCGCTCCACCTGCTAATGTGCAGCTACGACGCCATCGTGTTCGCCTACGGCGCCGGCCGGGACCGGACGCTGGGGATCCCCGGAGAGGACTTGGTCGGCGTCCGCTCGGCCCGCCAGTTCGTCGGATGGTACAACGGCCTCCCGGAGCACGCCGACCTCGACATGGACCTGACGGCCGGCGAGGAGGCAGTCGTCATCGGCCAGGGCAACGTCGCGCTGGACGTGGCGCGGATCCTGCTCACCGACGTCGACGTGCTGCGCAAGACCGACATCGCCGAGCACGCCCTCGAGGCCCTGTCCCGGAGTCGCGTCAAGAGGGTGCACATTGTGGGCCGCCGTGGCCCAATGCAGGTAAGAAGAAGAAAAAAAAAGGAAAAGCGGCGCGGGATGGCCATTTTTGTTTCACCCAACCCTTCTCCTGGGACTAATGATGCTTTGTCCGGCAGGCTGCCTTCACAATCAAGGAGGCAAGAGAGCTTATGAAGCTGCCCAACGTAGGGTTTCACGGCGTGGCAGATGGGCTCATACCATCAAATACGGATGAAATCCAACGGCCACTCAGGCGCCTCATGGAGCTCCTCCAAAAGGGCTCCCCGTCCTCCCCTGCCGAGACACCCAAGTCGTGGTCCCTGGACTTCTGCCTCAGGCCCTTCCAGTTCAGGAGGAGGCAGGACGACCCGACCAGGCTCGGGTCCGTCGAGTTCCAGCGGACCATCCTCCGGCACCCCTTCGACCCCGACGCCACCGCCTTCCAGACCCCCGCAACGGGCCCCGTGAAGCTGCGGACCCCGTTCGCGTTCAAGTCCATCGGCTACCGCGGCGAGCCCCTGTCAGAGCTCACCGAGGTGGGCGTCAGCTTCGACCACATCGCCGGCGTCTTCACCAGCGACCGCGTCACTGGCCGCGTCGCGAGGTGGGTCACGAACAAGCAGTACAAGGAGAACCTCTACGGGAGCCCGGTGCAGTGCCACTTCCCCGGGCTCTACTGCGCCGGCTGGGTCAAGCGCGGCCCGACCGGCGTCATTGCCTCGACGATGCAGGACGCCTTCACCACCGCCGACGCCATCTTGGAGGACTGGCAGACCGGCGCTGAATTTCTGCCGTTTGACGGAGTTGAGAGCACTCCCCGCCCCGGGTGGGACGCCATCTCCCGCCTCGAGCCCGCAGCCAAGGCCAAGACCGTGAGCTGGAAGGACTGGCGCAGGATAGACCAGGTAGAGAAGGAGAGGGGCCGACTGAAGGGCAAGGAGCGGGAAAAACTGCCGACAACGTCGGAAATGCTATCCGTGATTTCATAACGAGCTAGCTGGTGCTGCACGTTTATAAGTTTTTATGTCTAGTTATCTTAGATTTTTCCTCTTGCGAGCGAACTCATCGAACACCATCCGTCATAGTCGTTTTACAAGAGCGTGAGGAGCTTTGACAATCATGATGACTCTTTGAGCTTCTCCGTCAGCTCCGGCACCTTGTCAAACAGGTCGCCGACCAGTCCAACGTCGGCCACCTGGAAGATGGGGGCTTCGGGGTCCTTGTTGATGGCCGCAATCACTTTGCTGTCCTTCATGCCTGCCAGGTGCTGGATGGCGCCCGAGATGCCGACGGCCATGTACAGCTGCGGTGCCACAACCTTGCCCGTCTGCCCGACCTGCAGGCTGTTGTCGGCGTAGCCGCTGTCGACGGCGGCCCGGGAGGCGCCCACGGCGGCGCCTAGCGCGTCCGCGAGCGGCAGCATGATCTTGTCAAAGTCCTGCTTGGACTTGAGCCCGCGCCCGCCCGACACGACCCTGCCGGCGGTCGCGAGGTCCGGCCTGTCCGACTTGGCCAGGTCCTCCGACACCCACTCGCTCAGGCTATCGGCTTTAGGGTCGGCGCCGTCCTCGACTGTGGCCGAGCCTGAGCTGGGTGCCGAGTCGGCCGAGGAGAAGGCTGTGCCGCGGATGGTGATGACCTTGACCGGGTCCGTCGACTGGACCGTCGCGATCGCGTTGCCGGCGTAGATTGGCCTCACAAAGGTGTCCTCGCTTTCGATGGCTGTGATGTCGGATATTTGCTGCGAGTCTATGAGGGCCGCAACACGGGGCATCACGCTCTTTCCGAAGGCCGTGTGGCCCGCAAACACATGTGTATATCCCCCCTTCTTGATGTTTTCAACGAGCAGCGGCGCATAATTCTCGGGCAGACCCTGGAGATCGGGATATGATTTAGCTCCCGAAAGAAAAGGGGCACAACAAGAGCCGGGGACAGCTGTATGTTCCTATCCCACCTTTTCGTATGCGCTGCTCTCGACCACCAGGACCTTCTCTAACCCCTCGACCTTGGCAGCCTCCTCGGCAGCCCCCCTGGCGCTTGCCCCGGCGACAATGGCGTGGATGGACCCTCCCAGCTTCTTAGCTGCCGTGACGGCGCTCAGCGAGCCAGCATTGAGCTTCCCGTCCCTTTGCTCGAGAACGGCGAGGCTGGAAAGTAACCTTTGGAGGCTGCAGGGAGATGTTGTGAATGCTGGGCGGGCCAGGGCTCCTCGAGCCTGCCCGAGGACGGCTCTGCGCGCGACCGACAGCATGGTGATGCCCCGCGGTATGGTCTGCAGTGCGATCTGTCAACAATGGGTTTGCGGCTGGCACAGACTGTAGGTAGTCGAGGCTGTCGCAAATTGAGGTGGGCGAGGGAGGTGCTGGCCGAGGAAGCGTCATCGGCCTTTCAATATGGCCCACAAGCGGCAGAAGCAACCGGACGGGCAGGCCTGGCCCCTGTCCCCTTCCGAGGTTAGCCGGCACGCCGGGCCTGTGTCAGAATGGCCAATCAGAACCAATAGAAGGACCCACCAGAGCGGTTGGTGGGTCGTGCGATTTGATCTCTCGAGTGTCCGCCTGATTCCGCAGGCAGCAACAATTCGCAAATTTCCAGCCACTTGGAGGAGCAGGAACCTCCAGCAAGACCAAACGCGCGCCTGCCTCGTGGATCCAAGCCAATGCAAAATCGCGTCTAACAAATCTCGACAAGGTGTCGGCGCATCAACTGAGCATCCACCCTTGGAAGCCGCAACGCCCGAGTCCATGATTTTCGACACTTACAGTTGGCCACGATCGCACCGTGACTTTTGATTGAGTTTGTTATCTTGAATCTGCGCCCTTTCTCTTGTTGCTGAACGCGGGCCCCGTTCGCAAAGCTTCCGCCCCCGACACCCTGCCTCCCTGAGGCGCATCGACCACGATGGACGAGTCTGCGAACTATGGCAGTCCCGCCAACGGCGCATCGCCAAACAGCAACCCCATTCTTGCGCAACCGCCCCTGGAGCCAGAGACTCCTTCGGCCGCGCCCAAGCCGACCGAAGGTACGCCACCAACCCCCCAGTCTGCATCACTGTCGCGCCCGCATTGGCCTTGGTTCGCTACTTGCCTTTTATATCCATTGCCCAGTTTGATCTAACCTTCGTCACTAGATGTGCAAATGGGCGATGGAGCTTCTGGCGATCCCGTCATAAAGCAGGGCAGCACCACACCTGCACCTCCTGTCGCGTCGGAAACCGCCCTCGATGCGCCCGAAGGACCCCCCGCCGAGACTACCGCCCCTCGTGAGGACGAGGAGATGAGGGATGGGCAGGAGACACAGGAGGGCGCTGGCGACGCTCAAACCAAACCGAGCGAGGGGAACGAGGATGCGGGCCAGGAGGGAAAGACCAAGGAGGCGGTCGAGAACGCCGCGCGGGAGCATCTCATCTCCCAAACACACGCCATCGTTCTCCCCAGCTATGCCGTCTGGTTCGATATGAACGCCATCAACAGCATCGAGAGGAAAGCCCTGCCCGAGTTCTTCAACAACCGCAACCGCAGCAAGACACCCGCTGTCTACAAGGACTACCGCGACTTTATGGTCAACACCTACCGTCTCAATCCCGCCGAGTACCTCACCGTCACCGCCTGTAGGCGCAATCTGGCTGGGGACGTATGCGCAATCATGAGGGTCCACGCCTTTCTGGAGCAGTGGGGATTGATCAACTATCAGGTAAGAATGTCCTGCAGCGGTCTCAGCCGCTTGATTTTGGAAGCAATGAAGGTTCGACGCTAACATGGAATTTGTTGAAATCAGGTCGATGCTGAGCAGAGGCCATCACATGTCGGACCTCCGTTCACCGGCCACTTCCGCGTAATCTGCGACACTCCCAGGGGGCTGCAGCCGTGGCAGCCCTCTGCCGAGTCCACCGTTACGGCCGGCAAGCCAAACGGTCAGACGGAGGCCAAGGCTGTCGCCACGCCGGTGCCCAAGACCGAGTTGAACCTCGAGGTCGGCCGGAACATCTACGAGGCCAACGCGAAGGGAACCAAGCTTAGCTCCACCGACAACAAGACCAACGGTGAAGCACCGACCACCAACGGTGCCCCCAGCGCCGGCTCCGGCACCGCGGCCACCGACGGCCTTACCAAGGCGCCGGTGACGAAGGTCCACTGCACCCACTGTGGCTCCGACTGTACCAGAGTCTACTTCCATAAGCCTCAGGTTGACGGCGGCATCAACACGGCGAGGCGTGACCTGTGCCCAGACTGCTTCTTGAACGCTCGTACCGACACTAAGGACAGCAACACGAGCTACGTCAGGATGGAGAACAATGCCTACCCTCCCATCGTCGACCGGGACGTCCCGTGGACTGACGAGGAAACCATCAGACTGCTCGAGGCGCTCCAGAAGTACGACGAGGACTGGGGCGAGATCTCGGCCCACGTCGGCACCCGGACTCGGGAAGAGTGCGCCCTTCACTTCCTGCAACTGGATATCGAAGACAAGTATCTCGAGACGGAGCCTCTCAACGTTCCCACGGGGATGCAGATGCTCGGATCCGGGAAGCACTTGCCCTTCACACAAGCAGAGAACCCGGTTATGTCTGTGGTGGCATTCCTCGCCACCCTGGCGGATCCGGCCACGGCGGCATCCGCATCCGGGCGCACATTCGATGAGCTGACCAAGAGTCTCCGGAAGAAGCTGGAGATCAGCGGAGGCGATTCGCAAGCGAACGGGAAAGGGAAGGAGAAGGACGGCGATAGTATGGATGTCGATGTTCAGCAGGAAACGACCACCACGACCATGACCACCACCACAACAACCACCACAACCAAGACCACGCTCAGCGAGCTGTCGGGCATCCCGCTGGCTGCGGTCGGCGCCCGGGCCGGTGCGCTCGCCTCTTATGAGGAGCGGGAGATGACGCGCCTGGTGTCGGCGGCGGTCAACATTACGCTGCAGAAGGTGGACATGAAGTTGAAGTTCTTCAACGATATGGAGGCAATCCTCCAGGCAGAGCGGCGCGAGCTGGAGCGGGCGCGGCAGCAGCTGTACCTCGACAGGCTGGCCTTCCGGCGCAAGGTCCGCGAGGTGCAGGAGGGCCTTGAGGCTGCCGTGGCGGCGGGCGGGGAACAGGGAGTTCGCATGGCGCAAGATGTGTCACTCGACAACCCGCGGCTCAGCTTTCAGCCGGTGCCCGATGCCGGCGCAGTCCAGCCATTGAGCGCCGAGGGCCCAGTCAAGACTTTCGAGGCTTAGGGGCAGGATGTCTTGCCGAGATCCCCATACGGGCACAGATTGGGTTGAGAAGAAAGGGCTTTAATATATACCCCTGATGCTTGACGATTGGCGTGAGCTTTCATCACGTAGCTTTTGAGGCGGGACGGGGGGGGGGGCCTCTTTTCTCAGGGGCACTTGGTGAATTATCCGGAGTCATTCGGGGTTCATGCGGCGGACGTGTTTGTATTGTTATAGCGGAAATCGGGCTTTTTTATCCCCCAGGGACACGGGGAAATATGCTTTCTGTCTTTTCTGTCCATTCGTTTCTTTTTCGGTACACCTTCATTTTCCTTTGCTTTTTACCATGTCCCACAGATAATGGCTGGAGTTCGCCTACCAGCCCGGAAATGGAATCCTTGAGCTGTCTTCAATACTTTTCGTATCTCAGCAACAACAATTTCACGTTCATGTGGATGAGTTTTGTGGTCACCTCGTCCGGCAACTCCGGTGCTAGAACCGCAACTGTGTCTTCTGGCTGGCCGAAGAGCCTGACGAAACAACGGCTAACCACGTGGCTGACAAGAAACGGGGAGGAATGATGAGCTCGAGATGAGACAAAGGTCGGAAGGCCCCCCCGTCCGCCCGGCTCTTCATGGTGCAGACGGCCTCTGGTCTATACACTCAGCCGTCAAATTGGTCTCCCAGTATGCACATGGTCTCCTTACTAGCGCTGATGGCGAGCGATCTGGATGATGTATCCCGTGCGATCTGTCCAAACGCTTGGTTGTGCGAAGTGGCCTCTAACTAATGTTCTATTTGTTCTAACCCCGCCAAGGATGACGGCTGCTTCTGACCACTGGTGTACCGTTCGTGCTTTCATCACGCTGTCTTTCCACGGTGCCTGCGCGATATTTCGGATCCTGGGCCCGTTCCCTACCTATGTCTAGCGCTATTTCCTGTTGCTAATGTCTTGGGTGGTGAGGCTTGTGTAGTCCTATCTCCACCCCATGGCATGCTTCTCACACCCCCCCTCCCCCTTGTGTCCCTAGCCCTCGTCATTGTCACAAGACAGCCATGAGCGAATTCTGTGCCGTGTTCTCGCAGAGGCGTTGGCAATTCGTTCACAGCTGGCCTGCCGCTATCGGCTGACCCCAGCGGCAACTGGAGAAGACCGGGGTGGGGTGTGTGTGGTGCGGGAAAACGTTTGCGGCACGACATGGGGGAAAAGACTGGAGCATGGGACATGGGGACTCGGCTCCTTGGCGTGGGTGCCATGACGGGTTGGATTGTACCTCGGCTGGAGAGGGGGGCGGCCGAGTGCTCGGGCCAGCGCAAGCTAAGCCGAGCTACCTCGATCGATTTGACCTGCATTGGGACGCGCATGTAGGCCCCCTTGTGCACCCAGCTGGCACACGGGGCTGGGCAGCGCAAAGGAGGGCAGGGTGCGAGATGACAGGCAGAGGCCGGTCGGTTCGTGACAATTTCCCTGTGAGCTCGGTCGAGGGGGTGCAGGCGACCGCGCGGACGAGGCCAGAGAGTAGACAAAGAGGGCGGAAGACGGGAAGGGATGGCCTGCCTTGTGTTCTACGGAGAGCAATTGGGTTGTCCAAATTGGCCAGCGAATAAAAAGTGCCACACGCAGCTTCTCCCCGGGAGGCCAGCCTCGGCACACGTCTTGTCTCTGTCCCCATTCTCCAGATTTTTTTCCCTCTCCCACCGCAACCGCCCTGTTGCCCTTCCCAGATTGCCCCCCCGCCAGCAACGTCAGCCAGGGCGCGTCGGGCCGGCCGCAGAGAGCGACGAGAGAGAGAGCAACGAGTCAATTCGGCAGATTCGGTTGCAACACAGCGACGGCCCAGGCTGCTGTCCCCACCTTGGACTCCCGGCTCTCTCCAGCGGCACCGTGTTTTATATCCCTACAATACGTAGCTCCGCCCTCCGCCCGCCTTGCTAGAAAAAGGACAACCAGGGCCACACTACCGCAGCCATGTTGGCCGCCTTTGCGAGAACCGAGTCTAGGACGACTCCGATGCTGGTAAAAAGAAGCCGCCAACTCGGCCTGTCTCTGGTGCGTACTGCTTTTGGGCTGGACCTGATCCTTTTGCCCGGCTATTCTGTGTCTCTTTCTATTTTATTTTTATCCTGCTCCTTATTATTGTTTTGTTTGCAGACCAAGTTGCCAGCGTGACCATTCTGCGCCTGTCGTGCTGCCGCCCTCGCATCCTAGCTCGGCGTCGCGCGCCGCCCCATCACATGCCAATAAACCGTTTTTGCTGACTTGTGGCCGCGCTTTACTTCCTGTCGCAACCGCGCAGCAGAGATATAACCCGAGAATCACAATGGCTTCACCAAGCCGACGGAGCAACAGCAGCAGCTCCTCTCTCCCAGCAGGTCCGTAATTCCTTCTGACCCGAGGTGTTTTAGCGCTTCAACACTGGAGACGAAAGACGGCGTCCCTGCAAAACAAGCATTCTGCAGCCATCTGCACACCAGTCTTGTCGCATACAGACTCGTTGAACTGGTGCAGACATGACGGCGGCTAACAGGAAATCGCCCCTGCCTACAGGCTATGCGGAGGACAAGTCAAAGGGAGCGATGCTCCGCTTCCAGGACTCGCTGCCGCGACTCCCCGTGCCGACGCTGGAGGAGACGGCGAGCCGCTACCTGCGCACCCTGAAGCCGATCCTGTCGCAGGCCGAGCTGGAGGCCAGCACCAGGGCCGTGCAGGAGTTCATCAAGCCGGGCGGCGCGGGCGCCAAGCTGCAGGAGAAGCTGGTGGCCCGCCGCGAGGACCCCAAGCACCGCAACTGGCTGCACGAGTGGTGGAACGACGCCGCGTACCTCTCGTACCGCGACCCCGTCGTGCCCTACGTCAGCTACTTCTACTCGCACCGCGACGACCGCCGACGCCGCGACCCGGCCAAGCGCGCGGCCGCCATCACCACGGCCGCCCTCGAGTTCAAGAAGCAGGTGGACGCGGGCAGCCTCGAGCCCGAGTACATGAAGAAGCTGCCCATCTGCATGGACAGCTACAAGTGGATGTTCAACGCCTCGCGCGTGGCCGCCAAGCCCGCCGACCACCCCGTCAAGTTCGACGCCGCCCAGCACAAGTACATCGTGGCCATCCGCAAGAACCGCTTCTACAAGATCGAGTACGAGGTCGGCGGCAGGCAGCTCAACACGTCGGAGCTCGAGGCCCAGTTCCGCCGCGTCTACGAGCTCGCGGACCAGGAGGCGGCCGCCCGCGGCCCCGCCGTCGGCGCCCTGACGTCGGAGAACCGTGACGTCTGGACCGACGCCCGCGCCACGCTCCTGGCCGCGGCGCCCGGCAACGCCGCGGCGCTCGAGGCACTCGAGGCGTCGTCGTTCGTCGTCTGCCTCGACGACGCTAGCCCCGTGACGCTCGAGGAGCGCGCGCACGCCTACTGGCATGGCGACGGCCAGAACCGCTGGTACGACAAGCCGCTGCAGTTCATCGTCAACGACAACGGCACCTCGGGCTTCATGGGCGAGCACAGCATGATGGACGGCACCCCGACGCACCGGCTCAACGACTTTGTCAACGACGTCATCTTCAACAACAAGCTCGACTTCTCGGACCCAACCGTCCGCTCCGGCCTGCCCGACCCGGCCCAGGTCAAGTTCGCCGTCAGCGAGGACCTCAAGGGCGAGATCGAGCGGGCCACGCGCGACTTCGCCGCCGTCATCGGCCAGCACGAGCTCGCGGTGCAGGCCTACCAGGGATACGGCAAGGGCCTGATCAAGAAGTTCCGCTGCTCGCCCGACGCCTACGTGCAGATGGTGATCCAGCTGGCCTACCACAAGATGTACGGCAAGAACAGGCCCACGTACGAGTCGGCCGCCACGCGCCGCTTCCAGCAGGGCCGCACCGAGACGTGCCGCTCCGTCAGCGAGGCCAGCGTGGCCTGGTGCTCCGCCATGGCGGACCCGCATGCCGCCGACGCCGACAGGGTGAGGCTGTTCCGCGCCGCCGTCGACTCCCACATCGAGTACATCGCGGCCGCCTCGGATGGCAAGGGCGTCGACCGCCACCTCTTCGGGCTCAAGCGCCTCCTCGAGCCCGGCCAGGAGGTGCCCGCCATCTACAAGGACCCGGCCTACGCCTACTCGAGCAGCTGGTACCTATCCACCTCGCAGCTGAGCTCCGAGTACTTCAACGGCTACGGCTGGAGCCAGGTCATCGATGCGGGCTTTGGCATCGCCTACATGATCAACGAGAACAGGTGAGAGTGTGCCGTGTTTACCGCATCCTGAAATATTTTGCGACTTGCTAACCAGGTTTTTTTTTTTCTTTTTTTTTTCGTGCAATAGCATCAACTTCAACATCGTCTCCAAGGGCCTGGGGAGCCAAAAGATGAGCTACTACCTCAGCGAGTCCGCCGGCGACATGAGGGACCTGCTCATGCCCACCCTCGAGGCGCCCAAGGCCAAGATCTGATGCGTCCATGGCATGGATGAGGGATAGGGGGGAACTGTCGAAGCACTGTTTCCAATTTTGTCTTTGTATTTGCGCTCTAGACATTGTACTCAAGCGATCTTCTTTTTGGATTATGGGGGTGTGACAAAAAACCGGTATTTATTCAGAGAGAGAGAGAGTGTGTGTGTGTGTGTGGCTCAGGGGCATCCATTATAGCATTTTTTTGTCTTCGTTTGCCGACTAGATGGCGAGATTTTGCACTGGTGTACTACTTCCTGTTCCATCAAGATCCTGGGAGGTTCTTCTTTCCCGTCCTGTTTGTGCTAGCCATCTAGATCATAGATATCGCATCGTTCTTCTCCAGATATCGCGCCTTTTCTCCTCATTTTGTGCTTTGATGGGGCACATGGTAGCAGGCTGTCATGGTCGAGCTTCAAGTGGCCCGTCTGACAACATACGTCTTGCATTGAAATATGGCATCTATCTCAAGACATCTGCAAGATATCTCTAAACGCTATGCTCCGAGGCTATGCTCCAACGCACTCACCTACGAGTATCAACAAAGGGAGGAGGAATAAGGTATGAAGAGGTCGCTGCAAGAGCACGACGAAAACATGGCGAGCATTGGGGCAAAACCCGGGAGATGCAGCGGTGAAGCTGGGGCTGGACGAATAAAATTCAAATCACCTCCTATGTCCTGCCCTGCCTCTATTTTCCTTTTCTCGACTCCTCATGGGTTGCTGGGCACACAACACAACAGCACGGCGCAACACGAACACTCCCAGCCCCTCCTCACCCGGCGTGCTCGACAATCTCATTGACCAGGTCGCCCTTCTTGTCGTCAAAGTAGTGGCACATCTGCGATGGCAGGGGGATCTCCTTGTAGTCGTCGTCCTCGCTTAGGATGTTGAGGTTGATGTTTGCCGACTTGCTCGTGAAGATCTTTGTCGAGGCGCTCTCGCGGCTGAAGTAGAGCTGGGCCCCGTCGATCTGGTCCATGAGCACCGTTGGGATGCTGCCCATGACCTGGAGGCCAAAGTTTGTCGACTTGACCACGTCCACCGTCGACACGAGCGAGTCCACCACGAGCGACAACCGGTTGGTGTTCTCAATGGTCACCGCGTTAGCCTTGCCCTTGACGATGATGGTGGTGGCACTGCATTTGCTGATCAGGACCGAGTGCGACATGTTGGCCTCGATCTCGATGGGGAGAGATTCCTTTTCGAAGTTTTCCTACAAGAGGCGGGTAAGCACATGAGAGTTTTTGCGTGGTTGCACCAAGAGAGATATGCAGCAGTTTCCCACTTACGATGAGCCACTTGTTTCCGTCTAGCTCCTTCTTGGGCGGCTTCTTGACCCGCATGCTCTCCGGCTTCGGCTTCTTGCCCGGAACCGGGCTCTTGCCGCGGGCGGAGCCCTCCCGGTCCGGCACGGTGCTCCCAGCTCTCAGTGCCGGGTTTTTGTGCGTCATCTCGGACCTGTCCACTTTGCGCAGGCCCTTTGTCACGTCCTCGCCCTTGTTAAGGTCCGAGAATACGGCGTTGATGCCGCTCGCCGCGGCGGGGACGGCGCCCTCCTCTTTGATCTTCAGCACCGGAGGGGGGCCCGGCGGGGGCGGCGGGGGAGGGCCTCCTGCGGCGGCGGGAGCCCCCGGGGGAGGCCGGGGCACAGCCGGGAGCGGGGTCAAGGACTTGAGCACCTGCTCGGTGGGCGCGCCCTGGGGGTTCCACGGGATGCCGTTGGAAAAGTACTGCTTGACGTACTCGGCCAGGTCCGTGCACAGCTGCAGTAGCGAAACGACCCATTGGACGTGGTCGGGATCCCTGCGCGACAGATCAGAGGTGGCCACGATCAGAAGGGGTCGCCATCTCGCGTCTTGGAGTGTGGTGCTTACTTCTCCTTGTACTGCATCCGGATTTTGTTCGTAAATAGTTGGGCGCTCTGGACACAGGCCTCAACGTGCTTGTGAGGCTTCATGTCGACCGTAACCCAGGCCAGGACCATGACGATCTCAGCGACAGAGCTCAGGTGGTTGAACAGATCGGAGCCACGGTTGCTCTCTTTGACATTCTGCGCGCCCAGCATACACTCGCTGGTGGGCTTCAGCATGTCCTGATACACCGACATCTCTGAGCCGTTCAGGTCGGGCTTTTTGGCCTTGGTCGTTATCAGGAGAAACTGGCGCTGGGCATGAAGGCCCTTGAGTAGAAGGGCGGCCTGTTGAGAGCGCGGTCAGTGCCGTCCTGTGTGTGCCTCGGTCCCTATTCCATGCCACGACCTACCTGTTCGGCCACAGGGCCCCCTAGCTTCTCGCTGAGCTTGACATAGGGGGAGGTAGACGAAGCTATCAGGGCGTCGAACTCCTCAACAGATTCAGGAACCGGTTCGGTGGGCGGAGCGGGGGCTGCGGCCGGCGCGGGAGGGGCGCCCGGAGTTGCGGCCGTGGTCTGCAGGGTCGGGACGGCATGTGGCAGATCGATCGTGGACGAGGCGATGTCCTCAAGCCGGGCGGTGGCGGCTTCGAGTCTAGGGAGGCACGAGCGCACGTCAGCACGGCATACGCTTGCTCAGGAGAGCAACTGGCCCAAGACGGTCGAGGGGAGGCTCTAGGTAGACGAGTACGTACCGCTTGATGAGCGTGGTCAGGTTGTGCATGTTGTTGGTCGCCATTGTCGCGCGCAGGGGGCTTGGCGCCGTCTTCTCTTCTTGTCTGGGTCTGGGTTGTGCTTCCTGACCCGGTACCGTCCTTGGGCCTTTGGAGAGCGCGGCAGTCGCTTGAGCTCGTGCAGCTTCGATACTGTAACCGATGTTGGTCTGGCTGGGGCACGGGCCCACAGGCGGGGATGGCAAGCTGCAGGTCTTGGGGGGAATATTCGGGGCTGAAAGGCGTCGCCAGGACTAAGAGCGTGCGTTTAGTCACCGGTATATATGTAATAGGTATGTATGTGAGTACTTTGCGGTCTAGGAGCCGTTTAATTTTCCGTGCCTAGCAACTATCGGCTCATGAGGATCAAATCAATGAAGATCGCGAGCTGCACCCAACGTCTCAGGCCTGCCAGGGCGAGTGGGTAAACTTGTCTAATAGTGGGGCCGCTGTCCCCTGGCTCTCCCCAACGATGATGATGGCCGTGCTGATGAATTACCCCTGATGTTTGAGGCTGGGAATCCAGGTCCGCAGGCGCCATTCACAGTGTCGGAATAACCACGCCAGCGTTACTATAGCTGGCATGGTACCTATCTACATTATGTCGAGAATATCCAAGTATCCTTCATCTTACAATAAGCCCGTTACGTCTTTGGGTACATCTCTCAACCCAACCATCTGGACAGTCTGGGTTTCCTTTACAGTGCTGTGGATTGTTGTCAGTTGTACGCTTCAGCCGACGTCGTGCACTGTGGGCGCAGATAGGACCAAGGAGGCGGCTTCACCGGGGAATATCCGTCACCGTTATTTGCTCCATCTTGTCAATTGGAGGCACGCCAGTGGCCGCCTTTTCCCCTGATGCCCCATATCCCCGCAGGCTGCTTCCCCGAATACCCGAACCGAGCTCCCTCGCGATTCCCGCTGACCTTTTTTTGGGACGAACTTCTTTGCTCTTGCCCATTTGAACTTTCATGTTTCCCTTCAACCGAACCATCTTATACTTGATAGAGAGAAGCCTCCCACATTTAAATCGCCCCTTGTGCGTCTGCAAATAACCCAGGATCTCATACATTCGTCAGCACGTCTTTCAGCTATCCATTGTAAAAACAACCTCACACATTTATCGGCACTTACGCCCTCACCGTTTCTCCGATCTCGGCCCCCTTCTCACTAGCTCTACTCGAGGTTCGCTCAATCTCTGGGCTTGGCGCGATGACCCTGTCAGGCGTGGAAGTGGCCAAACACGACAGCAAGGACTCTTGCTGGGTTGTTGTTCATGGCAAAGCCTACGATGTGACCGAATTCCTCCCAGAGCATCCTGGAGGTACCAAGATAATCCTCAAGTATGCTGGCAAGGATGCTACCGAGGAGTTCGATCCTATCCACCCCCCGGACACGCTCGACAAGTACCTAGACAAGTCGAAGCACCTTGGCCCTGTCGACATGAGCACCGTCAGCAGGGTAACCAGAGAGGTGGATCCCGATGAGGAGGAGAGGCTGAAGCGCGTGGCCGCCATTCCCTCGCTTGAGCAGTGCTATAATCTGCTGGACTTTGAGGCGGTTGCGTCGAGGGTCATGAAAAAGACGGCCTGGGGCTACTATTCGAGCGCCGCCGATGACGAGATCGTAAGGGCGGATTCTCCACATTTCTAATCGAGGCGTCACTGACCGTTGTTACTCTAGACTCTCCGCGAGAACCACTCGGCTTTCCACCGTATCTGGTTCAGGCCCAAGATTCTCGTCGATGTTGAGAATGTCGACATCTCAACAACCATGCTGGGCACCAAAACGGACGTCCCCTTCTACGTTACCGCCACAGCCCTGGGCAAGCTGGGCAACCCAGACGGGGAGGTCTGTCTGACAAAGGCGGCGGGAAAGCATGGGGTCATCCAGATGATCCCGACGCTCGCCTCATGCTCGTTTGATGAGATCATGGACGCTGCAAATGCAACCCAGATCCAGTGGCTGCAACTGTATGTCAACAAGGACCGCGAGGTGACCAAGCGCATCGTGCAGCATGCGGAGCAACGGGGCTGCAAGGGGTTATTCATCACGGTGGATGCGCCGCAGCTGGGCCGGCGTGAGAAGGACATGCGATCGAAATTCGGCGACGAGGGCTCTAACGTCCAGCAGGGCCAATCAATGGACACTTCTCAGGGCGCCGCGCGAGCCATCTCCAGCTTTATCGATCCGGCGCTTGCTTGGAAGGACATGGCTTGGTTCAGGAGCATCACCAATATGCCCATAGTAATCAAGGGCGTGCAGCGGGTCGAGGATGTCATCAAGGCGGCCGAGGCCGGGCTGGACGGCGTTGTGCTTTCGAACCACGGCGGCCGGCAGCTCGAGTTTGCGCGCTCAGGCATCGAGATCTTGGCAGAGACCATGCCTGTTCTCCGGCGCATGGGTCTGGACGACAAGATCGAGGTCTACATCGACGGAGGCGTCCGGCGCGGTACCGACATACTCAAGGCGCTCTGCCTGGGCGCCAAGGGCGTGGGCATCGGGAGGCCGTTCCTGTACGCCATGTCGGCGTACGGCGTCGATGGCGTCGACCGGGCCATGCAGCTGCTCAAGGACGAGCTTGAAATGAACATGCGCCTCATCGGCTGCACAAGCGTGGACCAGCTCAACCCGTCCCTGATCGACACCAAGAGCCTGTGCAACCACGGAAACGGGACTCCGATAGACAACCTGTCTCATACCGTCTACAGCCCGCTCAGCAACCCGCCGCAGCGGACCGGGGCGAAGCTATAAGGCGGGAGTGAAGAGGATTGTTGCACCTGAGTGTCTGGCTACTACGTATTTATGATATATTTGAGAGTTCATCTTGCCAATTTTGACAGCGTCCATTTTGAATAAACGTATCAGCTTCCCAAACCCACGAGGCAGCCGGACGGCAATGCAACATGCGGAAAGTCATTCGATCAGAATGGAGCCGATCGAGATAGTGCAAATTCTGGCTGTTTCCCAACTAGGAGTCCCTGCCCATGAGGGAGACAACACAGAAGGCTAATACGAGGCGGGCCCAGTATCGACACCACCTGGAGCACTCCAAGGGCACAAACCGAGGGTGCGAGGATACAAAGCGAGGGATCGGGAGGCACTCAATCGCACCAATGTCTGTCATTTCTCAAGCCGGGGCTAGTGAGAGGGCAAAAGAGACATGCAGCTAGCCTGTAGGCGCATGCATGTGACCCCCAGATCCGACCTTCTGCCCAGAGTCAGATCCATCGCTAGTCGCACACCGTTGGGATGGCCAGTGAGTCCGGCGTGGAATTGCATCATCGGCGTGTGCTCCACCTGGCACTGGGTAGGCACCGGAGGTGCATGTAATCTGCATCGGAGAGTACAATTGCAATCCAGGCCATTTACAGCGATGGGTTCTGCGTATGTGCGGGAATGGTGATGTTGCACTTGGTTTATCATGCAGGCAGCTGTGTGCCCGTGACATCTGGATCCAATCCCCTTCAGGTCGACCAGGCTGCGCGATAGCGCTCCCTAAAGGCACAATGTACAACCTCAAGCTGAGGCTTGATGGCACTGAATTAAGCCTGCAAGGCATTTGCCTTCTAAAATACTAGGCATTACAATGAGCCCTGGTCGCGCGGTCACCGGACCATCCTCGACTTTCTATTGGCAAGCGGAGTCCAGTAGGCACAGAAAACAGACCCCCGCACCCTCACCCGCGATTGTCGCCGCCTGACTGTCGCCTTTCCCGGCCTGGCCTTTTCCCTACTAGCCGCCACCCACGCTCATTTCCTCTCCTTTCTCTTTACCTGTCTCGTTCCTTTTCCTTAACCGGGGTGATTCAAGGGCTGCTGGTTTTGTTTTTCTCTCTCTTCTTCTCCGTCTGTCATTTTCTCGTTTCTTTTCTTCGTCTCCACCGACGGCCCGGGCAGATCGACCATTGTTTACTGCCCCCGACAGACAAACTTCCGATCGGCACTCTGAGAGCCAGAGTGAGCAGGCGCTGGAGGATGTCGCGGAGGACTTGAGGCGGAACACCCTCCCCTCCGCTTCAGGCCTTCGTAACTCCCCATAATTCCCTTGCGTAGGGCCTTCGAGTCCGGCGCAGACCCAGGAAACCGCACACGCCCGAACGCTCCCCAGAACCTCGTGCCCGCCATGTCGTCGCTCGAGGCCAAGATCGTGGTGGTCGGCTCCCAGGGAGTGGGCAAGACATCGCTGGTCATGCGATACTGCAAAGGGTCCTTCAACCCGGCAAAGGTCACGTCGACGGTCGGCGCAAGTTTCCTGGCCAAGCGCGTCGTGGACAGCGACACAGACACAGTCGTGCGACTGCAAATATGGGACACGGGTATGTGTGCCCCGCGAGACATCTGTGTCTTTCATTCGTCGGCAGCCGTCAACTGACAAAAAGCCCGCGACCATTTTGCGACACACAGCCGGCCAAGAGCGCTTCCGATCGATATCGAAACTCTACTACCGCGGCGCCAACGCGTGCATCCTGTGCTACAGCATAACGGACGCGCAGTCGTTCGCCGAGATGGGCCTCTGGCTCAAGGAGCTCCGGCGGAACCTGCCGTCCGACATCGTCCTGCACGTCGTGGGCACAAAGGCCGACGTCGTGGCGCGCGACCCGGCGCGGCGCGAGGTGCCGTTCGAGCGCTGCATCGCCTACGTCGCCGAGAACCTGGCCCCGGGCCAGAGCAGCACCCCGCCCGCGACCGCGACCCCGCTCGGCGACGGCCTGCACCACCACTACCATCCGGGCGGCGGCGGCGGCAGCAGCAGCGGGGGGCCCTCGACCTCGTTCATGACGCCCCCGCTCCTACCCAGCGCCGAGCCGCGCAGCCCGAGCTCCAAGCGCAGCAGCGGCTTCTGGGGCATGGAGGTCGGTTGGGACGCCTGCCACGAGATATCGGCCGAGAGCGGCGAGGGCGTCGAGGAGGTCTTCCGCGTCGTCACGCGCAAGCTGGTCGAGCAGAACCGCAAGATGCAGCAGGCCCTGCTGGCCGCCGCCGCCACGCCCGGCATCGCCATCGGCGGTGGCGGCGGCGGCGGGTACGGGGCCGACGGCTCCCACGGCTCCCTGATGCCCGGCGGCCACCACGGCGGCGGCGGCGGCTTCGACGAGTCCGCCGCGGCGGGCTACTTCGACGCCAACCCGCGCGGCAGCCTGCGCCTCAGCGGCAGGGACCGCAGGAGCTGGCTCTTCTCCCCCGGCATCCCCGGCATCTCCCCGGCCATACCCGTGGACCAGGCCGCCGCGTCCTCGCGCAGCGGCGAGCAGGGCGGCGAGGACGCCGTCGCAGGGCGCCGGGGCTGCTGCTGAGCAGACCTGTCGTCGCGTCAGCTCGGCCGGCCTGCTTTTCTCCGCTCAAAAGACAATATGCTCATCTTGCTTCTGCCTCCAATATCCTGATAACCTCTCCATCCCACATCGGCCCGCTCATATCCGCTTTGCGGTCGCGCTAGCGCGAGCGAGTTTCGAAGCGACTGTGACGACACGATGCCCGGGGCCAGGCATGAATGGCATCGGGAATGGGGGTTGGCTCTCGGCTAAAGCGGCCATTACTCCCACACTCCCACCTACTCTCCTCTCTCACACTCATATGTATCTCTTCCTAGCCCGTTGGATTTTCTTCGGACTCATGTTTATTTGCATCCTCCCCCTCGCGCTGGTTTTCTTGAACTCTATCCACGCAACAAGTTCATTGTTTTTGATTCCAGGTTTTTTTTTTTTCTCCCGATCGTCTATTGGGCGCGGCACTTTGGTAACGGCATTTATCCAGGCGAAGGGTAAAGGAAAGTCAAAGCAGGCATTTTGAAGGGCAAAGGGAGCGTTTCTTTAATATTTATAAGTCAACTCTTCATCCACTCAACCTTTTGGGTTCACAAAACCTCTCCAGCCAGACACCCCGCCTTGCAATGTTGAACGCACATGTGAAATGACATGCATCCCCCACCGGCATGCATGAGTTCGACACCCTTTGACGTAAGACCACTGCGTAGGGTTGGATTGCATCCCCCGCTCCACCGCCGACGTCTTGCCGCCCGCAAATGTGTGTCTGGAGTAAAAATATAATTTTTATCTAATCCATCTTATCAGCGAACCCCTCCTTCATCGGCCGACCCTTTTTTTTTATTCTCTTGGACAAATTCTAGGCCGCAAGCCTTCCAACGCAACCAGGGAGCTCTACGCATACAATTCAGCCAGCAACTCTTGGGGCGATTTTCTTTCGTTCCCTTTCCCCCTAGTCAGACCTTCCAGGCACCTACCTCCCTGGCACCATGGCGCCGGCAGCGGACGCGCAAGCACCACCACCACCACCACCACCAACAGCCGGGGTGGACCCCACCATCGCGTCGCTGCGCAAGACGCTGTGCGCCGAGGACGGCCAGCTCGCGCTCCGGTTCCGCGCGCTCTTCTCGCTCAAGCACATGGCCAGGCACGCGGGGGACGACGAGGCGACGGCGCGCGCGGCCGTCGACGCCATCGCGGCCGCCTTCGCGTCGCCCTCGGCCCTGCTCAAGCACGAGCTCGCCTACTGCCTGGGCCAGACGGGCCTGCCCGCGGCCGAGCCCCACCTCGTGGCCGTGCTCGAGGACCTGGGCGAGGACCCCATGTGCAGGCACGAGGCGGCCGAGGCCCTCGGCGCCCTCGGGAACACGAGCAGCCTCGACGTCCTGCGCCGCTTCCGAGTCAGGCCCGACGAGCAGGTCGTCGTGACGGAGACGTGCGAGATCGCCATCGACAGGATAAACTGGGAAAACTCGGAGGAGCGGAAAAAGGAGAAGCTCAAGCAGAGGCAAGTCTTGCTTCTAGTTTATTTCAATATGCCGCGTGACAACTAACACCTCTTTTTACTACCAAAAATAGCGATTTCGCCTCCGTTGATCCCGCTCCTCCCATGGCGCAACAAGCCGACGAGAACGTGCAGAAGCTGGGTGAGACCCTCATGGACACATCAAAGCCGCTCTTCCAACGATACCGCGCCATGTTTGCTCTGCGAGACCTAGCTTCTCCCCCCGACCTCCCAACGGCCGTGCCTGCGGTCCTGGCTCTCGCCCGCGGGCTCGAAGACGAGTCCGCGCTGTTCCGCCACGAAATCGCGTTTGTGTTTGGGCAGCTATCCCACCCAGCCTCTATCCCCGCGCTAACCGCGGCGCTAAGCAACGTCGAGGAAGCGAGCATGGTTCGTCACGAGGCTGCCGAGGCGTTGGGCGGGCTAGGGGAGGAGGAGGGTGTCGAGGCCACGCTGAGAAAATTCCTGGACGACAAGGAGCAAGTCGTGCGGGAGAGCTGCATAGTCGCTCTCGATATGGCCGAGTACGAGAAGAGTGGCCAGACCGAGTATGCGTTGATTCCCGAGATCGTAGCTTGAATATCTCGAGCATCTCCATGTCGCCCTTTTCCAGCTAAGCAGTCGGTTGCTGTGTAATTCTAAGGAGTATGTGTCGTCGTCGTTGATAGGCGCGCACACCGGCGTTTCGGGTATATAAAAAGCATTTGGTGGTCCTTGCGGCCTCGGGTTTATCGTAGTAGTATATGCAGAGTCGTGCGCGGTTTCGGGACTTGGGGGGATGCTCGTATCCTAAACAGGCATTGGGCAGAGGCCATTGGCTTTGCAATACACCAAGATCAGTTGTTCTCAGCCCACCTACAGCGAAGTTGCGTGTTAGTATTAGAAGATGCAACCCTTGGCCGCCAACTGCACAATCAACTCACCTGTTCCCGCATTCGCAGTTGTAGAAGATGGTGGACCCCTCGTCGGCGCTGCGTAGCTGGACGGCGGAGAACCTGACCTCTTTCCTGCCGCATTTTTCACACGTCTTCTGTGTCAAAGCCTCGGTTACAAGCTCATGGCGTTTGACCGTTTGCACGCTAGACAGCTGCTGGCGCAAAGGAGACGGAAAGTCGGCTGGGGTCGATCTGGTGATGACTGTCTTGGCAGCGGCGTCTGAATGCAAAAGATGGGGGCTGGTCAGCACAATCGCCTTGCAAATTCTGTTGGTTGCTTCCTCCCCCATTATGCGCAGGGTGGTGACGGGTTCGACGTACCTTTGTTCTCCGCACCACAGCATTCGCAGAGTAGAATATTCTTCTCGCTTCCTTTGGATGCAGGCAAGAGATTACCGCAATCGTTGCAGAAAACCAAAGTCCCAATGGCAGACATGTTTGCGTGACGACCTTCACGTTACAGAAAGGGTGGTGGTTGTTGGTGGGTGTTTTGAATTCTTCCGAGATCTTGTTCGTTGACTTTTTTTTCTTCAAGCTCCGATCGAGCTGGGTTGTTCCTCTGATATTTTGTCTCCCGCCGCCAACCGCCAAGGTGGGGCTGACAGGTCGTGCACGAACCAATTCGTCACTGCTAGCTCCAAGGATCCAGGGATCAGGCACTGCAGTTGGGCCCATCCGCGTTCGAGTCGCGGCACGATGGGCCAATCACCGAATGGCACGCGCCAGTCTGTGGGTCGCAGCTTTTGCAAGGCTGCAAGCAGCAGGCGCGAGGCAAATGCAGATGGCACCTTCCGCATCTCTGTCTGGTGGTCTTGGACAGCATTGATCAACCATCAACCGCGCACGCCAGCAGACACGCTGCGCCTTTCAGGCAAACCCTCGCTGCCTCGCGCCCACCTACGATCGCCCGCAATCCGCCATCGATACCGCCGCGCCGATCTAGTGGCCAGCCAATGCCATTGGTCCATCGTTCGAGGGGTCGCATCCTTGCTTGGGCCATGCCCAGTCACTGGCCGTAAAGATGGCAAGCCGACCGCCAGGCGTTCCGAATGGCGGCGAGAACGGCCAGACGCCGCCCGGTGCCGCAGACACGGACTCCCAGTTCACGCGCCCCTTCACTCTCTACGAAGCGCTGCCGTTCTCGCCATTCACGTCCGTCATTCCTTTCCAGTCAGGTGCGTCTGCAGTCTTGCTTCTTCCTCACACACCGCCATCAACCCGTTCTCTCTGGCATCATGCCTCTCATCTTGCCTGCAAGAAGCACCGCGTTCTAACCCCACCCCCCCAACAAATAGGCGTCATCCCAAATCCGACCTTGGGATCTGGCTTTCCGGCCTCTGACCTCCCACAGCAGGTCCCGCGCCAGGACTTCGATACGCTCACTCGTGAGGCTTCCCAGCAAGCGCCCTCAAGACGACTCAATCATGCGATAGATCAGGTGCAGCATCTGCTGAACCCAAACAATGTCAACTCACTGTAGGTGCCATATTGGCCCATGCTCTCGCGGCGACGCTTGCTGACACCTGCCCCAGCACCTTTCGCAAGGGCCCGAAAATGAACACGGGCGCAAACGCGCCCCAGTCTAAGAGTCTGGCTTCGGAGCTTTCGCCATTTGCTAGAATGGTTTTTGAGCGATCTAATGTTTCGTTCAGATATCCTTCTCCCGACTCTACTGTGCCACAGGATATCAACGGAGCTGCACCCCCCACGCCTGTCCCGACGAAGAAGCGAAAGTCACTCATCCCCTCCAAGGCAGAATCTCCAGCCGGAAAGAGGCACACTGCAGTGCTGAACAAGCAGGCGAATGCGCACAACTCCAAGATCGAGATCTCGATTCCTCTTCAGCCACCAGCAGCCAGGCCTAGCGGGCCCTCAATTCCTACACCCGAGGAAGCTGGCGCGCCCTTGGAATCTTTGCCTTCACCCAGCGATGCATTCCTGCCCTACCCAACTTCGACTCAGCAGGTCACATCACCGCGGGAGACGCCCCAGAGAGTCTCTCCGTCAGCCCCTCCAGAGCAAAGCGATGACCAACCGATACCGGATCAGCGCCCTCGGGACCCTCCTGCGCCCTCAAGTTCCCAACAGGCTCGAATGGAAATCCAAATCAACCTTCCAGCGTTTGTGCCCGATGCGGATAAATACCGCGACTATAAGAACTTGGTGGACCTACCCGCGGATCTCTCGAGGCCCAGGCAGCGAAATGCATACAACGAGCCAGAGGAGTATGGCATGGATCTGGATCGAAGTCAAAAATCGGACGCTGCATTCCAGGATGTGCGACGCCATTTCTCGGACGTCTTCGTGGCCGAGATAAATCTGAGCACCCAGTCGACAGCTTCGCCATTGGTGACTACCACCAACGAGGATGTGCCCACAATAACTTCAGCTGGCCAGCAGCGAACCTACCAGCTCATCGACAAGGCCATCGACCTACGCTGCTTCGAGGACATCCCGCTCGAAGACCTTCTGCATATTCAGAGACTGAGTGATGGTGCATTGCAGTATGCTGAGGGACTCGAGGCCAAGCTCGATAGTGAATGGGGCGAAGTTGACGTCTTCACATGGGCCTCGCAGCTTCCAATTCTCGATAATGGCTTGAGGGCAGCGAGAACATCCCTGAAGATCATGGCAGGGGGTCGGGACGACAAACAACTGTACTCCGAGGACACCATCAGGCTGGCGGTCAACCTCTTCAAAAATGTCATGGATGGAATCGCTGTGCCCGTCACGGAACTCCGGCAATCACAACAACTCTTCTCCCTGTTGGCGAGTCATAAAAAGTCCATTCTAGTGGTATTTACGAGCTGTCAACGGCTTTACACGCTCATGGCCTCGCTCATCCGTGCCATCGACCTCTCCGAGACGGTTGTCAACACCCTCGAGTTTTTGTCCACACGCCTGGTCTTTGTCGAAAATGCCCCAAGCGAAAGGGAGTCTCTCTTGGGGACTCCAAAGTTCGACGGATTAAGACTTATTGCCATGGACATGCTGTCCCAAATATTTGTTCTCAATCCATCTCAGAGACAGGGCATCTTCGACGAGATGCTGACATCACTGGAGAAGCTTCCGGTGGGAAAGCAGAGTGCGAGGCAGTTCAAGCTTGTCGACGGAAGATGTGTTCAGACTGTGTCTGCCCTTATATTGCGGCTGGTGCAGGCAAGCGCAGGGCAAGTTGGTGGGTCTTTCACCAAGGGATCTAATCGCCGCCTGCCTTCGGCTCGAGGGGCGGACGGCGACGATGAGGATGGTGAACATGGTGGTGCTGGCTCCGGCGGCCCTTCGCGCAGGCGAACTGGGGCCATCATTGCTACAACGATCACGAGCGAAGCAGAGGCTGCTGATGAGTATGAGACGGTGATGCGCGAGCTCAAGGAAACCGAATCTTCACTGGTCGGCACCGCATATCAAAACGCCTTCTACGTCATGAAATTCATCGTCACTCGCGCCCTGAATTCGACAAAGTCCGGCGACTCCCCTTACAGGAACCTGCTCGATCTCTTTGTTGAAGACTTCATCACATGCCTCGAATCGCCAGACTGGCCTGCCGCGGAGGCTCTGTTGGATGTCGTCTGTCGGTTGATGCGGCAGCAGGTGGACACCGAGCGTACGTCTGCCCCGGCAAAGAACATGGCGTTGGAGATTCTTGGCTCGATATGTGCCGCCATCTCCAAGCTGAGATCTCAGGTTAGGAAAACTGGGAGCTTGCTCAGCACGGTCGAGTCGGACCCCCTTAGCCTGTTTCTCTCCGATCTGGCAGCTGCATCCTTAAAGCAGAGGGTGAATTCGGAGCAGATGGTCGACTGGTCAGGGCCGTTCCGGGCTGTGTTGGAACATCTCGGGACGAGGCTCCGTGAGGATCCGCACCTGACCAGCGCTATCTCGTTCCTTTGTGCCCAATGGGCGGATGTGGTTTCGACGACGCACGCTGCGTTCCAGGAAACGGATGGTACTCCAGCAGCACTCGCCGAACGAGACCGGGAGTTTGGGAGGCTGGCATATCGACTGCACATGGTGATCCAGGATCCCAAATGGCTTTCAACCCAGTATGAGTTCAGGGAAGTCTCGCCAATCCAGGCGAGGGCCTCCTACGCCATAATACTGGACCAGTCCAAACTCGGGAGCTCCTTCAAGCCCATCCTGGGAATTCTGATTCATTCCATGTCCAGCGATCAGGCCACGGTCCGCAGCAAGAGCTTGAAGAGTATCAACCAGGTGATCGAAACAGATCCCTCCATCCTGGATGGCGAATCATCCGTCGTGTCGCTCATCAAGGCGTGCCTTACGGACAGCTCTCCACAAGTCCGCGATTCCGCTCTTGGTCTTGTTGGCAGGTGCATTATGCTCCGGCCCGCCTTGGAGATGACCCTGGCAATGCCCATCATTGAGAGATTTATGGACGCTGGTGTCGGTGTCAGAAAGCGGTCAATGAAACTCACCAAGGACATCTACATGAGGCAGTCAGACCGCGAGCTGCGCAGCTGCATTTCCCAAGGTCTCCTGCATAGGGTAGCAACGGATCCTGATGAGGGAGTCAAGGAGCTCGCCCGCCAGACGATCGAGGAGATATGGATCTTCCCCTTCTACCACGCTGAAACGTCGGCGGCGGACAAGAAGTCGCTGGCAGACCACATCGACCTCATGGTTCACACGGTGAAGCAAGGTCTTAACGTCGCCATGTGGCTAGAGAAGGTTTTGCAGTCTATCCTCTCGCCTACATCCAAGACGGCTCGCCAGAACTTCGAGGCCTGCAGAACACTCGTGGCAGGCATGTTCGACCTCGTGCCTGCGGACGGCCCTGAGGGCAGCGACTCATCCTCACTTTCGGGCAAGGATGTGTTGCAGGTGCTTCAGGTCTTTGCGAAGGCCGATCCAAGGCTGTTCGACTTTGAGCAGATTAGGCTTCTCCGTCCACACGTGTTGAACATCACCATGAGCATGACGCCGGAGGAAATAGTCGTGACCCGGGCGGCGGTCGTCATATACCGCCGTGTGCTTCCTGAGCTGTCCGGTCAGCACCACCAGCAATTTCTAGCGGATATCTTGAAGGTGGTGATGCCTGCCGTCTCAAAGATCTACTCCAGGCCTCTCCTCCTCGACGACGTCATTGCCTGCCTTTGGATCATTTGCGGCATAACAGGCGAGGAACAGAAGCTGGCGACGCTGGCGGCTTCGGCCCTGGCTGGAGCAGCTAATGCCCAGAAAGGAGGCACACTGGATGCTAAGAAGATACTGGCATATTGTCCCATTATTGGGCATCTGGGAAAGCATTGCGATCTCGACAAGTGGACCGACATTTTCAAACAGCGTCTCCCTGTCTGGAAAGGCAAATCCACGTCTCAGCTCATGGTAGACACGATGCTCCCCCTTTCCCGGGCGGACAAGCCCATGGTCATTCGCAGGTCTGCACTGGAGGCTATTGGCCTCGTCTGCCAGTCCCACCCTCGAAACTACGTCAGCCCTAGCGTCTACAAGATGTTCCAGGACGTTTTCGACAAGCAGGACATCAGTCTCGAGAGCATCGTTTTGAGATCCTTCAAGGAGTTTCTTATGACGGAGGAGAGGCGCTCAGACCAGGCATCCCAGGCCGCAGCCCTCAACGGCACCGGCACTGCAGCCGAGGGTGGAGTCAGCAAGAAGGAGCTTACGGTCATGGGCGGCACTAACTACGACGACGTGGCCAGCGCAACGACGCAGCGATTCCTCGCCCAGATCACACGAATAGCCCTGGCCACCATGGACGCCCACGCCCTGCTCGCCGCTGAGGTTCTGGGTAGCATCAACCGCCAAGGTCTGGTGCATCCCAAGGAGACGGGTGTAACCATGATGACGCTGGAAACGTCCCCAAGGAAAGATATAAGCGAACTTGCTTTCCGGGAGCACAAGCTGCTTCATGAGAAGCACGAGTCTGTCCTTGAGCGCGAATACGCAAGAACGCTGCAGTCCATATTCCAATATCATCGTGACGTCGTCGGCGATATCCGCGGCGCAACTCGCGACGACCGGAGCGACACCTTTGCGTCGAAGCTCAACAACATGATGGAGCACCTGAAGATCAGCAAATCGAAGAACCGACAGGGCTTCCTGCGCAAAGTGTGCGGCTTGATCGACTTCGACCCAGCCAAGCTCGACGTCTCGCAGCAGCCTCACCCGACGCACCTCATGTTTGCGCGCTTTCTTCTGGAGAACATGGCCTACTTTGAGTACATCACGGTTGGAGAGCTCCAGTTAGCAATATCGACTCTCGAGAGGCTTGTTACTAGCACCGGGGCCAACATCGCGCACGCCATCGAGTCCGAAGTCTTCCAGATCGGGCTCGGTGGAACCGAGGCTGTGGTTGAGGGTCAAGATCAGCAGCAGCAGTCATCTTTTGCGCTCAAAGTTGACCCTGTTCGTCTAAGAAAACTGACGGCAGGCTCCATGATACTCTCGGCCGCCTGGGAAGTACGGACCTATTTGCGCCGGCTTTACGGCCTCAAGGCTGAACGTCGGCCTGCCGAAGGCAAGAACAAGGTGGCGGCCAAAGACCTCAGCAAGACGCCCGTCAAGGTTCAGAATGTCACAGGGGACAAACTGTGGGAGGACCTAGAGGCTCTCATGTCTTCGCTGTCGTCAGGCGAGCTGATGGTGACGCAATGCCGCGCCTTTGTGGATTTGCTGAACATTGACAAAGAGTTCAAGGTGGCCGACGAGGATGGCGATGATGGCGAAGGCCCCTCAACCCCTAGTGCGGACGAGGATGACGAGGCGCCCGACAGCGCCTCGCGCGGCCGCAAACGGAAGGCGAGCCACACACCCGGCGGAGGGGGGCGCAAGAAGCGTCCTCGCTCGACGTCGCAGCCTAGAAAGCGCGGCCGTCCGAGGAAGAACCCGCTGCCCGAGCCCAGCCACGGCGACTGGTAGCGGCCTTGTCGCCCGGCAAGAGAGTGTTGCTGCTTCAGAATTGGCGCGCTACCACCACTCATAGCGAGCCGTTCGGAATCGTTTCTCGGCACATATTTCTTTTTACTTTGTTTTTATCCATTGCTGCACGTCTTCCTCGGGGATAGAGCCGTCGACCACAGAGGTGTCTGCTTTCGTTCACCCTAAAATCTTTCATCGCGGAATTTCGCTTTTACATGATGATGAGCATAGCACTGGAGTGGCTATAATTCGCCTCCTTTTTCTTTGTTGATTTGATTTTGGCAGGCGTTTGGGGCATAGCTCTTTTCTCGGAGTTTTGCGGAGAGATACCATACATGGGTAATCATGAAAAACATGGCGAATCGGCGAAACTTGCGATTTTGCACTGGCTTGTAGCTAGCTGGGCGGCGGGAGAAGGTGGGCTTGGTGTCTGTCGTTTCACGCAACGCCAAGTCCAGTCTATACACACAAGATATTTTTTACTATGACACCTGTACTTGGCTTGATACCCTTTGAACAAGATGCCTTGCTCTCTCGAAACAGCATTCTCGGCTCCTGCCCAGTTGAGATTTTTGATCAATATGTGATCTGTCGGCGCACACGTTGCTTACGGCGCTTGAGCACAAGGAATACTCATGACGGGAGACACCTTTCGGACTGGAACCGACCGCCTTCCCCGCGGCGAACTTCTAGTGGGTACCGCGTTCTCCTGATGCGTGATTTTGAAGCCATTTGACATGACCACGAGACGAATAAACATGCTGTTATGGTAGCCAGGTAGAAAAGGTGCTACACTAATAAAGCCCTCTCTCGGAGGCGATGCGAGATGGGGGGTTTGGAACAATGAGGAACACGAGGTGACGGAGCAAACTTCCTAGGGAGATATGGGAGCAAAACAGGCTACAGATTTCAAAAAGAACCCCCGAAAAGAAACATGTAAAAGGAATGGGGAACACAGCGGTCGTCAGGCAGCGTGAGATCGGCCCGCGACCCTCTCTCCCTATACAGTCGGCCTCGCGCTGTCGGCGGCGTCCTTGGCCGCGCCGGCAGCAGAGCCGCCCGCACCTGCAGATGGGGGAGTGGCGCCGCCCCGTGGAGGCTTGGCAGCGCCCTTGCCCACAATCTTCTCTGTCCAGTTCCAGCTGTTGTTGCCGCCACCGCCGCCGCCGCCGCCATTGTTGTTGTTGCTGGCGCCGGTGCCGGAGGAGGAGGAGGTGGTGCCCTTCCTGCGCAGCCACGAGTGGCGGGCACTGTGGGAGGCGGCCGACTGGGGCGAGGTGAAGGCCTCGTCGTCGCTGTCGTCGCCGCTGTCGTCCCAGTCGCGCTCGCTCCAGGTCATGGAGTCGAGGCGGTCGTAGTTGGGGCGGCCGCTGCTGCTGGTGGCGCCGCTGCGTGGCGTCGGCGGCCCGTCGCTCGCGCGCCCGGGGCTGTGCCTGTCCGTGGCGATCGACATGGAGGACCGTCGTTGTGGCGGCGTCAACGGCAGGTCCGAGAGTTTGTCAGTGGCCTCACGCGCCTCGCTGGCCGTGCGGTTCACCGAGGCCTTGCGGCCGGGGGATCGGAAGTCGTGGTTCCGGCGTCCTATATCCCGGGGCATCGGTTTTGTGCTCTCCGCCTCGGGCTCCTGGGTTCTGGTCTCCTTTCCTTGCTCGTCCGGACCGATGCCCAGACCTACAGCTCGCTCGCGGCTGGTCTCGGCGCTGTCTGGGGTGCGGGCCGAGGCCGAGTCGCTGAAATGGGCGTCGACAAGATGCTTGACGACAGGCCAACCAAAGGCATTGGGGAAGGTACGGCGGACAATGATGTTGTTGTGGGCGTCCGGCTCCAGCTTGACGAGCACCTTGCGCCACGACAGGCCTCTGTGGTAAGCCCGAGCGATCTTCTCCTCGACCCGCATCCCTGCGTTGTCTACCACCTGGGCGGGCTCCTTGCTTCCTTTCGATCTGGATGCGTCGCCGCCGCCGTCCGTCATGGGCGATAGTATTGTGCTCTGTGGCGAAAGCACCTGCTGCCGCGGCATCACGGGCGACGACGGCATCGACATGCTTTTCTTTGCCGCTGCCGTCGCCGCCACGTCCGCCTCACCCGATGCGGCCGCTTCGGCGGTTACCTTCAAGTGTTTAGAGTCTGTGCTGCCATCTTCCGGCAAGCCGGCCCTGGAGCGGCGGCGTATGTGCAGGGAGCTGCTCGTCGGGCGCTTCTTGACGGGCGGCGGCGGGATGTCACTGGGATGGTAGATGCGGTCGTGGAAGATGGTTCGCGGCCGCTTGGAAGGGTCGATCAGGTACTCGACCGACGGCAGCTTCGGGTTGAGGAGGTCCCCGGCGGCCTCAAAGAAGGTCGTCCTCGGGGGCGCCGACATGCCATTCTCGCTAGGCTCGTCGCTTAGTTCGTGGCCGCTAGTCACCTTGGACCGGGGCGAGGACGCCGAGTTGTTGTACGACCCCTCCTCCTTCAGCAGCGTTTGGCTGCGCTTGAATATCTGCGTCTGCTTCTGGCTCGGCGACGTCTCTTTGGTCGGCTCGTCCTTGCGGAAAAAGTTGAAGATGCCGGTGAAGGGGTTCGCCGACGCTACCGAGGACGTCGAGTGAATCCCCCAGGCCGGCGACGCCACCGACCGTATGCTCTGCCTGTCATCTTCCAGTATGGCATTACCTGGTGGTTGCGGGACCTCGTGCGAGTAAGGAGCCATGGGCGTCGTGACGCCGTCACCCTTGGGGCTCTGGTCCCCGTCTCCGCCACCGGCCATGGCCGGGCCAGGCAGCTCAACAGATTGCCTCCGTTTTGTGTCGCCGGGCCCATCAGTCTCCTCATTACTGTCGTCAGCCTGCCATGTCGGCTCCCTCGGAGACGTGACGTTGGCGCCCATGAGCTCGGACCAGCCAAAACCCACGACAGTCTCGACCAGTCCGGCTTCACGACGGGCCTTCTCGACGCGGCCGAGGCCCTGCCAGTCTAGGAAGAGCAGGCAGCTGGTGCGCAGGGGCACGATGCCGTCATTGACCACGTTGGAGTAGAGGGTGCGGTTCCGGAAGGCGCGCAGGGCAACGTGGGCGGGCCCCGTGGGCAGTATTCGCAGGAGAGGCTTGGACTCGGCCTGGGCCTCGCCGCCCATCAGCTTCTTGTGCGCATTCTCGCCCAAGTTGCTCACGATGGCGCTCCAGCCGCTCCGGGCGATGGTGGGAGCTCTCCACGTCAGTCCCAGGTCTTGGCCTGTCCTCCCGACGAGGCCAAAGTCCAGCGCAAACTTGAAATAGAGGGGGTTCTCGTGGTTTAGCCCAAGCAGCGGTGATGCAAGGGCGATGAAGTTGATAGGCTTGATTATGTGGAAGAAATTGGGCGAGTGCTTCTGGATGTATGCAATGGCGTATAGCTGAACAAGTCCTCCAAGCGAATGGCCTACGAAGCTGATCTTGGTGATGCGATACGTGCGAGCATCGTCGCTGGCGCGGGGCGCCTTGAGTATGCTGCTGTGTTTGTGCGCCGGTGCTGGCGCCGACCCAGCACCTGGGGCCCCGCTCTCCTTGGATGCTGCGTGCGCCGCGGTCTCTTTGGCCATCGCCATGGACGCCGGCAGGAAAGGCTGGTCGGGGTACGTCATTGATAGGATATACCGGGCGAGGCGTTTGCCCAGGTATTTTATGCCCCTTTCTGTTCGTGTGGCATTGCCCGAGAACCCACGCACCACGACCTCCTCATCTTCTTCCACGACTTGATCGTCGTCACCTTCGTCTTCGCCGTCATCTTCTAACCCCGACTCCGTCTCGCTCGGAGGTGGCGGTTTGCTGTCCATGTTCTGGGCTGATGATGTGCCGACGCCATGCCTTTTGTCCTCGGCCTCCTCAGGGGCTGATACACCGTTATCGTCCTTTGGCTGGGCTTCCGCCTGCGCCTCGGTGCCGACATTTGCCTCCTCCTCCTTCTCCTGGGCTTTTGCGGCCTGCTTTTCTCTTTCTTGTAACCTTTCTTCTCGCTGCTTGCGCCTCTGCTCTCTCCGTTCTTGCACCTCTCGGGCACGCCTTGCCCTGGCGTCAATTTTTGCCTGTCTGGCAGCCGAGTCTATGCTCTCCTTTAGGAACAGCATGTCCGCGCCGAGATTGCTGTGCAGGCCATGTGTAAGCATCACGAGATGTATCTTCTGTTTTTTATCGTCCAGCTTTGATGAACCTTCTCCGCCGTCCTTGCTGCGGCCTGTAGACGCCTCGCCTTGCCCGTTCTCTCCCTTTTTGTCCATATCTTTGGGGGTTGCCTGCGGTTGGGACTGCGGAGCTGCCGGCACCGGGCTTGTCGCCTCCAGGGCTGGACCCTTGGGGAGGTGGGCATGGTGCTTCGGTTTGGCCAGGTCCGAGGGGTTGGAGTGGCCCAAACGCGGGGTGTCCCAGAGCGCACCTGTATCCTCGACCTTGAGGCGGATGGCCCCCGAGTAGACGCCCCTTTGAAGGGCTCCACGTCCGTGCTGCTGCTGTTGGAAGCCCGGAAGCAGCGAGGGCGGCGGCGAGGTGAAATCGCTGATCTTCCCGGGCTGGGGGGCCTGAGCATGGGTTCCGCCGATGACAGCCACAGCCGGGGCGCCGAGGCTGAGGGACTTCTCGTCGCGGGCAAGCAGAATTTCGTAGTTGACGGCGGCCGAGGTGGAGAATATGACCTGGCTAGAGACCTCGATAACCCACGAGGCGGAGTCGAGGGCGGGCTGGAGGTGGATGGCTTCCGAGGAGGAGGAGGTGAGGTTTGCGGGGTCGGCGGCGGTGACGGCGGTGGGAGGGATGGGGCCGCCAAAGTGACCCTGGCTGACGCCGGAACCGGCAGACTGGCGGATGTTGTCGGGGACGAGGAGGCGGCAGGTCCAGGCGCCGCCGGCCTTCAGCATGGGCTCGAACTCGGGGACGCCGTATCGGCGGGGGTTGGCGAACTTTCGGTTCGGGTCGTAGTGGGCGGGGTAGGCGGCGACCCCGAGCGTGTAGGGTCCGTGGACGAAGGCGGCGCGCAGGGCGATGAGGGAGGTGTTCTTTATGCGGAGGTGCAGGCACTCGGGCGACGGCAGGATGCGGTCGTGCGAGGGCGTGTACGTCACCGTGTACCGCACCACCTCGCCGATCTTGACGCTGCCGACCTGGTGGAGGAGCAACATCGCGGCTGCTTTGGCGGGAGGGGCCCGCCGGGGCGGCCTGCGTCGATCGAGGGGGTGGACGGCGGCGGGTTGGGCGGCGGCGGCCGAGTCTCGTTGATTCGCGGGCGGAGGAGAGCTGAAGTCGGGTGTTTTGCTCAGGGCAAGTTCTCGGTTGCTTGGCTATGCTGGAGCAGCGTCTGCGCGCCCATCGTCGATGGACCAAAGTCCGGCACCGCGCGGTGAGAGCTCACTTCACACGCGACATGTGACGTCTGCGAAGGCGGCGCACATGCGGGACTGGATGGAGATGTACCTGCGGGAGCACCGAGCTAGCTACCTTGCTAGGTCTGGCGCTCGATCGGAGCTACCCAGTCTTGGCTGCGTGGGCACGCCTCGACACACTTGTGGCGGTCCGACTTGTTGGTTGGGTCTGAGGTGGCCCTGTCCGTTTCTGTTCTGATCCGTCCTTGGTATTTTTAGAAGGAGCCGAGCGCGAGGTTTGGTCGCATCTCGTTGAAGAGAGGATTATTCTTAGGAGGACGACCTGTAGATAGTTTGTATTGAGAAAATGTTGGTCTGATTGAAGATTGGTAGGAGCCTAGAGCGACCCCCTGGAATCCTGAATAGCGCGAATTCCATGGATCCCAGCATCGGCTTTTGGTGGGTGACGTCGGATCAGGCTATTTTTCCTGAGCTCAAGGGGCTCCGCATTGATTGTGTGCCGTGAGATCCGTTTGTACTTTGGTTGCGGAACGCGCCTCGAGGTACCCACGATACCCAGCGAGGTTGGAATCTCTGTCAAATCAAAAGCACACTTTTTGCTACACATACAAATGCTCATGGGCTTCATTGGTATCTCCCCTGCGAAAACACTGTCAAGCCCAGTGCTGTCTGGGCAGCAGCTCCTGACCGACCTCGTTCCTTTGTCAACAACGAAAGCCGAGTGGGCCACCACAACCGCCCACCTCGCAAATAAGCACTACCCACCAACCAAGCCCTGGGGTTCGCTGATCCAGTAAGCTTGTCTCGCCCCAAACCAACCTCGCGCCACATGATGAGCCCACTTCTGCGGCGTGTGGTGAAAGACAACAGACGAAAGGAAGCAGCACAAAAATACAGGGCACGACATGAAAAATAACTGACTCGGGCATACTACATGGAACGTAATTCATTGGTTGCACAAGGCACCTAAGAACAGCACGAGCACGTGGAAACTATGTAACCTCCCCATCTTCCGCCCTTTGGAAAGGACCTCCATCAATCTTCATGTCATGTCTCTCAGTTCGGCCAAAGCGTCAACGCAAGTTGGGCGTGCAGGGGGAAGGAAAGAAAAAGAATAGGAATACGATACCCTTGCTATGCAAGTTCCACGCATAGCCCTTCGTCGTCGTTTGATCATCGTTGATACGTGACGGGCGTATGATACACATGAAAAGGAAACAAAAACACCTTGGACTAGACGACCTCGAAATTACAAGTGACATCCGATGCGGAAATCAGAGAGGAATAGGCCAAGGAGCGCGTGAATATGAAATGATATAAAAAAAGAAAACGAAGTACGAAAGAGAAACATGGACAATGAGATACACGAAGACGATGATGATGAGCATTGACATTTCGTCCCGACGGCGGGTGCTTAGTGCTTGCTGCGGCGTGGCCGTCTGGCGGCTGGGACGTCTCAAAGAGGAGGAGACAATCTATTTCCTTTGATTTGGGCTCTCAGGCTTTGGCTCAGGATGCCACAGAGGCCGGCACGTTAGGATTCGGCATAACGTGGCTGCTCCATTCGTAAACCCGGTTCGGACCGCGGCCGGGCCCGGTCAGGCCCGCCAGACGACTCGCCTGGACATCCTCGTCATCCTCCTCTAGGTACGGCTGCTGAGAAGCCGCGTCCTTGCGCGGCCGGCGCGACACCGTCGGTCGGCGCCGACTAGGCGACCGGTCGTGCTCGGTGGGGCCGCCATCGTAGCTGTCACCACGGTGCCTACGCCTGGCTCCACCTGCCGCTGGCCCTTGGTCCGACGACCTCGTGCTCCTCGAGTTACTGCTGTACATCTCATCGTCCATCGTGTGTCGCCTCATACCACTTGCTGCGGGCGCTAGGGGCACAGCTGGCGGCGGCATAGACGCCATTGGCATGGACGTCATTGGCATGGACGTCATTGGCATGGACGTCATTGGCATGGACGTCATTGGCATGGACGTCATCGGCATAGACGCCATGGGCATGGCCGGGCTTGCCATGTGCATCGGGATCGTGGCCACATGCGGCCCGGTGGGAGGATAAGCTGACGGGTACATCTGGGGGTGATGCGAGTGCGGGGGCGTGTGCGGCTGGTGATGCATTGTCGGCGGTGGCGACATTGGGGCATGGTGCATCGGCGGCGATGTGATGTGAATAGCGGACGGCGGCCCGGCGTGGATGAGCGTGGGCGGGGCCTGAGCATGGTGTAGCACAGGCTGCGGCGCTGATTGGGGGGCCGGCGTGAGCGGATGCTGGGACATGACGGGAACGTGGTAGGCTTTCTGGGCGCCTCTCGAGTCCGGGTTGAATCGTTCCGCCAGGCGCCTGTCCATCGATGTCGCGCGCATGTTGCGGGCTTTGTTGACGTTTGCCACGTAATCGTCGCCGGGGTTGGATCTCTCATCATCCGGTATCATGGGAGGCGGCGATGGTGCCGGCACGGGAGCCCGCGACGGTCCCATGGGGATGGGAAGAGAGGGAGACTCATAACCATGGCGATGGGGCTCCACCATCGACGGCGGAGCTGGTGCTGGGGGCGGGGCCTGCGAATGTGAATATGACACGGCAGGTGAATGATGGTGCTGGTGGTGCATCGACTTTTGCCTGTCCGAGATGGGCGCGAAGGGGTGCGGCTGGGGCGGCGAAGGTCGGGACTGGGCCTGAGAGTAGGGCGGCGGGTACGAGTGCGCCTGTGGTACTGAGTGGGCGTAGTGGTCCCGCGAATACGCAGCCATGGGGCTCGAAACCATTGGGTGCAGCGGCAGCGACTCGGGCTCAAACTCACGTGCACGGCGCTCGTGGCGCTCACGCTCCCGCTCTCGCTCCCGCTCACGTTCTCTCTCCCTCTCCCTCTCACGCTCACGCTCACGCTCGCGTTCCCGCTCACGTTCACGCTCGCGCTGACGTTCGCGCTGACGGAAATCTCGTTCTTGCTCGCGCTCCCGCTCCCGCTCCCGTTCTCTCTCCCGCTCTCGCTCCCGTTCTCTGTCTCGCTGCGAGTGGTGGTTGAAGCTTGAAGACGGGGGAGTCGGCACAGCAGGCGGCGGGGGCCCGGACGGTCCCCGGGTATGTAGCTGCATATGTGTGGGCGGAGGCTCCCGGTGGGCTCCATAAGCAGGCGTTGTCAGGGAGTAATAGTCAGCACCGCGCGGCGGTGCCGATGGAACTGCGGCAAGCGGTCCAAGCGGTGCCGGAGTGAGCGCCTGCGTGGGCCGGGAACGGTGATGGTCCTCCTCTTCAGGCTGTCCAAATGCGTAGTGCACTTCCTCTTCATCCTCGTCGTCGCGCCCGTCGTCATCATCATCATCGTCGTAGTCGTCCTCGTCCTCGTCGTCAAAGGTTTGAGGCGGGGCGTGCCCCCTGCGTGACAGGCTCGATTCGGGCTGTGCCTGCATCTTTCGTGGTCGCGAGTACTCATCAAGACCACGAGATTGAGAGCGGCGGCTGAGGGACGTGTGATGAGATGTGCCACGAGATTGAGAGCGAGATGGGTCCCGGGACCTGTACGCCTCAGTTGGATCCGGGGCAGCAGCCATAACGCGGGGCCGAACGTCCCGGTCTCTCGACTCGAGGCGGTCTGTCCTCCTGGAGGATGACGACACCTGTCTGTGTTTCAAGACGGGAGCTTCTTCTTCCTCTTCTTCCTCGGCGTTGCAGTCGCAGTTCGCAGACTCGTGGCCGCAGCCCGCACATATCTGCACACGCCTGACCGCCTTCGCTTGGGGTCGCTTCAGCGGCACTGGTCCCTCCTCCTGGTCTGGGCACTGGGGATCCCGGTGCCAATGGTTGCCGCACTCGGTGCAGATCCTGCATTTGCAGTAGCTGCACTTGGCGTACTTGCGACCGCCCTCGTCCTCCCTCTCCTTGTAGATGTTCTTGCTCTTGATGGGCTTCCTGCAGTGCGTCGTTGGGCAGACAAGCTTGGGAACCTGCGAGGGCGTGTCAGAGCCCCCGAATGTCTGGGCCTTGCGGAGCATCGGAGGCTTCTCTACGTGGTCGGGTTCGCTGTGCCTCCGCGAAGTTCTTTACGGGAGAAAATCACGCGACTCATGTCAGAAAAACGAAGCTCCCATTCCGCCCTTCACCGATGGGGACAGGACTGGAGGGGGAGAAAACACGGCCAGGAGATGAGTAAAGCGTACCTCCTCGCCGAGACACTCTGCCGCATGCTGTCTTCGTCGATGGCGGACGATTGCCGGTGAATTTTCCGGGACGCGTGGCGGTGCTCCTTGGGGGCCTCACGCCTGTCTGAGGAATGGCGGGAGGGTGAGCGGGGTTGGGGTCTGCGGGCACCACGGGCGACGGGCGAGCTGTCTCGGCTGCGTTCCAGCCTGTAGTCGGCCTCCTCGGGGATCGCTTCGTCTACGGTGCGTTGGCGGCGGTGTGCACCTCCCCTCTTGCTCTTGGTCCGGAGGCGCTCGGCGAGCATCTCCTTGTCGGGGACTCGGATCTCGGGCTGATCCTGTTCGTCCTGCGACGACACGTCCGTGTCGTCGTCCGAGTCGGACGTGTTGGGCGAAGTGCCGCGGGACATGGAGGGCAACATGTAAGAGCCGCTGCGGCGGCTGCTGTCTCGGTCGGATCGGGAGACGACGTCGTCATCGCACCACACGTCCTTGGAGCGGGCGCGGGGGTTCTGCTGTTGGGAGCCCGAAGACCTCGCCGGCGTGGACACGGGGTAACTGTTGCTTCGGTCGGGACGCATGCTTGACGAGGACGCACCCAGCGAGGCGCGGGATGGCGTCGTCCGTCTCTGTCGTCTGGGGGACGACTGGAACTTGGGCTCCGGGCTCAGTATTATGCCCTGGATCGAGGCCTGGCGAGGCGGCGAATCCAGCAGCGGGCCATCCATCTTGGCCCAATCACGCTGGGAGGGGCGGGGTGGGGGGAGCATGAGGATTGAGAGGAGCTCTGGCCGTGGCCGTCTCCACGGCGATGATCGGGGGTGTGCCAGGGTGGACGAGGGCGATGTGGCGGGCGGTGGTCGCTAGCGTGGTCCGGCGAGTGGTGGCCCCCTGGGCCTTGGTCTCCGCCGGCGAGGGTCGACAGGCTGCTGCAGCAGACGTGATGCCGGTCGCTTGGCCTGGACCCACGGTGGCCATTCGCTGGTGGCCGTCAGCCCTGGGGCGGGTGTCACTGGTGTGCAGCAACGCAGTGCTGGAGCGTGCGAGAGTCGGGCGGCAGCGAGCCTCTGGGCAGGCACTGATGCTCTGGTTGCCCAATCCGGTTTTGGTTTTCCTCCCCCTTTTCCCGTCCTCGCCCGCTCTCCTTCTCGCCCGCTCCCTCACGACTCTCCACCGTCGGGTGTCTGCTGGCCCCCCCAGTCTGGTGCCCACTGCAGCGCGCTGCAGCGACTGCTGCAAGGGTGAAGGGGCAGGCGGGGGTTGTGGGTGGCTGATGGCAGGGCGGCTTGCTGCACGCACCCAAACTGGGCAGTGCCTCTGACAGCTGGAGCAGCCTGAGTGGCCGGGCCTGTGCTAGGTCTGCATGAAGCACCAGTCGCTGATTGGGCTCAACTGGGCTGCGTCAACCATCCATTGCATGATCCAGGCATTGCAGAATTCAACAGAGCTCGGGCCAGAAAGCAGCAGGCATGGACGATGGGCGGGGCTGGTGGGCTCCAACGATGGAAGAAGGGAAAGCGAGAGGGAGAGAAGAAAGCAAAAGGGAAGGAAGCACTGGGCACCAACTCCAGCTGCCACTTGCGGCAATCGCGACGCCCAGGAAAATTGCTGGCGGCACAATCCAGAGTGAAGCAACTAGCAACCTAAGCCAGCCCGTGCTGAGTCGACGGATCGCCCCAGAAATCCAACTGGGGCAGCTACGGCTCACCGTTACGAGATGGGACCAGACCAGACTGCCAGCAGTCAGCCGCCGACCGTTTGCTTGCTTCCATGCTTTCTACAGAGGAAGAGGTCCGTGCTACCGGCCGTGCTCAACTGGCGGTGGTGCTGCCAGCAGCACAGGGCCTCAAGCGCTCCACTCGCTGTTTTGGGATGGCGACCCGATGGATGGAGCAGCAGCCTTGAAATGTCTGGTGCCTCTGGGTCGTCGTCAGAGAGAGTGAAGAGAGAGTGAGAGAAGAAAAAAACGTGGAGGTGAAGCGACGGCCGACCGCCGCCCTCTCTCTCTGCTCACGGATAACCCTGTTTGCATTGCGTTGCTGTCAACCCGCTCAGCCACTCAGCTCACGGCGAGTGGCGAGACTGGAGCAGCGATACGGGGCGGCGGGCTGCTGGAAGGGGTGCAGATCTGATTGGGCCACAGGCTGGAACCGCTGCAAACGCACCCACGCACATGCGACGACGTACGTCGGGTCGGGGGGTCGACCGGTCGGGCTGCCTCAATCGGCTGTGGATGGATGTGTTTTTTGCCGGACACTCCCTGCCTTTGCCTCTCGCGGCCTAGGGGAGCTGTGCTGACCGCCGCCAACTCTGCACCTATCGACGGCTCTGGCTGATTGGGCCGGCAGCTGGGCATTGCAGCCGACCACCAGCCGGGCTGCCAGTCTGCCCTCCCTTGCTCTCCGACCCGACCGCACCTCACTGGATCAGACGCCGTCACGTGACACCCCTCCTTCCCTCCCCCTCCATCGCATCCACGATCTCCACTTCCCCTCTGCTCGCCAACCGGAATCAGCTGAGAGCCCATGTCTCAGCCCGCCTTTTTGTCTCGCCATGCCTTTGAGGTCATACGGACGGAATCAGACGTGTACTTCAAACCTGCACCCAGACGTTGTTGTCCACGACGGTCAAGTCGCCTGTCACCGCCGTCACCTCCGTCACCGCCGTCTTCGCCGTTGGTCACCGTTGGTCTCGGTCACGGGCGGGACGGGGCTGTCTGCTGGCCAGCTCAGAGGCTCCTGTCCGAGATCGGACGGCGACCGCTGGTGCTGGGCTCAAGGCGCTGTGGTGTGGTGTACAGTAAACGGCTGGGCCAGGAGAGCAAGGGCTCTCCCGGTCACCCGCACCCATCCGTGCCCCGCAGTCCGATCGGACCAAGCCCGTCCCTGCAATCTGGAGCCGATGTTTACGTCTTCAATATTCTATGCGCATACATATCGTCCGGGGTCGTGGGGGTGCGAGAGGTTGACCACGCCCGACATGTTGTTTGTTCGGTGCTGTATGCTGCCGGCCGCAACGAGAGGTTGGTCGACAAGCCGCAGTATCTTGCCTCTCGCCCTCCCGCGCTGTCCAAGCGTTGCTGTCTCTTGTTGACTGGCTGTCGTCCGAACAGCACACGCAGACGGGAAGGGCCACAGCCTTTCCTCCCAACCCCTCACCCACTCGGCACGATTCCGGTCACGCTAGGCGAGGTCGCACAGGAGCATGTACAGGTATCTGCGTGTCAATGGCCCCTCGTAGTGCGTGCACAAAAACACAAGCGCCGTCGACGGGCTGCTAATCTGGTGCACAGTGATCCGCACCTCGGCTCTTTGAGCTGGTCTCCTGAGGTGTCGGGTGCCTGCTGTCTGCTGTAAACGATTTAGTTTCATGATCCACATCCCCGTCACCCTCACTCCATATCCTCCCCTCCCCCGGGGATTTGCTGCGTCTAGGGCGCTGCGGGCGACAACGACGCCTCACTCGAGCTGCAACCAGCCGCGGTGCCACCCTCCCATACCGCGGCCTCGTCTGGAGCAGTGGCCCTGCGGTGTGCGTTTGTCTCGCACCTCGGGCTCAGGGGGGGGTCGGCCGCAAGTGCTACACGACAGGCATGCACAGGGTCCCCCTCCAGGCAGGCGGGTGCACGCAGGTCAAATCCCTCCCCTCCCGCATTGCCGTTTTGTGGCAGTGGACAGATCATAGGGCCGCCCGCCGCAACGCCCGCGTTGTTGGCCTTGATGCCCCTTGCGACGTCTTACTACCACCCACCGTGTGTGTGTGCCACCAAGTGCTACCGTGAAACAGCAAACGCGCATGCAAAAACCAGCCCGTTCTATTGGGGCCAGCAGATGCCGCCTCTGCAGCCTCCCATTCCCCGGACACCGTTTGACCTACCTCCCAGGCCGAATCCGTCCGGCCAGTTGTCTGCTGATGGCGTCACGGACCACGCCATGACTTTCTCTCACCCACATTCCTCTCTCCCCCTCTCGTGCCGAATTCATTCCATCTCAGCCGAGCCGAGGGCTTCCCCCGGGAAGCACCCACCCGGGACCAATATGCCGGAGGTCTCCGGTCGGAGAGGGGGGGCGGGGGCGGGGACCGGGGAATCTCTCCGGGGGTCGCGAAAACAGGTCCATGAATGGGGGTGATGTTCTGCATGTCTCGGAAACCCGCCGCGCTTTCTATCCGATATCGAAGGAAGACGAGGGTAAAAGATTACGCCATAAAGGATGGAGCGAGCAGGGAAAGGATTGAGGTGCAGATCCCTAAAGCTATCAGGAGCCCTAGCTAGGAACAAAAAACATAACGGCACACTCTACAGGTTGTTACATACATATTTAGAGCTAGCTGGACCAGGTGAGATATTCACGACGTGTCACTGGCTCGAACGGAGCCGTGACAGAATGAAATGAGTGGCATGCTGCATGCCGAACCAGAAGAATGCCCCGAAAAGAGGAGACCCCCAAGGCGACCCGCCACCCTTTTTCAATTCTCCATATGGACGATGGGCCACCGTAGTTGACGATGTGGTGGATAGAGAGGCACGGGGCTCATCATGAGTGGGGCCCCCCCAATAGCGATATTGCTCGCTTTGCTTGGGGGTGGTGGACCGCACTCAATTTTTTTTTGTCTGAAAGTCTCTGCTCTGCACACGTGCGAGATTGATTTGGAGGGCGGTTAGGCTGGGGGACTGGTTGCGGGCTGATGGACGGATGGAATGCCACCTCGGCTTTCGACGGATGAGGGCAGCGGCCGCCGGCCCACGCACGCACGCTTTCGACCTGTCAATTCCAGCACTCTTGTCACCGAATTTCCAGTGAGAGTGAGAGAGAGAGAAAGAGAGAGAAAAAAAAAAAGGCTCCACCCACTGCCGCCCTCGCATCACAGACTCTCTCCCCGCCGCCTCGAGAAGGTCGTCCGGACCAAGGAAGAAGGGGGGCGGGGATCGATCGATTTGATACCTGCCCGATGATGGCGAAACGCAGGCCGATCCCAAGTGCGATCTGTCACTTGCGATTCGACCGATCATGTGCGCGTCCTTCCCCGGACCCGAGGGAAGCCTCATGGCGTCCGAGCTGGGCAGATGACGGCGGCGGTGATTTCATCTCCGAGTGCCTCTACGAGTTGTCGTTGGGCCGTCATGGGCGAGACTCCACCATCTCGGGCCTTGCCTGCGCGGCAAAGGTAGGTCGGAATGGACGAATCGAAAACATTGGCCACCACGCTGCCATGATTACCTGTTAGGCCGAGGTCCAACGTCATTCTGTGTATATGTCTTTATTCTGATAGCAGTGGCTATCTGAGGGTATTATACCGACCTCGTGTCGCGGTCCAGTCAAAAAAAACACAAAAAAACGCTGTCAATTTGATTACCCGCTAGACCAAGCGGGCTACAGCCACAAAACATGGGTGACAGTACGCCAGCGCTCTTCTCTTGTTTCTCCATCCTGGCCCCCAACCCATCCCGCATGTCGACTTTCGGATATGGGCGACTCGCTTGCAGTCTCGTGTTGAGGCTTTGCTGACATACCTAAGAACAACAATTTGGGGGAAAAAATACGAGACAGGAGAAAGAAACAGGAACGGAGATCGTTATCGGCTCCTTCAGCCGCCACCTTTGCTATCCAAGAGACAATAAAAAAGGGGGCAGGGCAATTGAACTTGGTACAAGAATTCCGGAGATGGCAGGCGGGCAGTGTGGGCAAAAACGCTGCGCGGTGGGTGGGCTGTAGGATGACAAGCGAAATGGGCCATGAGGAGCTCCAAGAACCGAGGCGCCCGGTTTTATTTCTTGCCCTCGAGCCTGTGTGGCGCGCAACTGGGGGCGTACCCAGCGTACGTATGGTAATGGGTGGATGGGTGATGTGTATCGTGCGTCGTGGTGGGTGTGGGCGAGTGTGGTGTGTTGATGACTCTTGGCCCAGTGAGACGACCGCATTCCAAAGTCCAGGAGCGGGGGAGCCTCGGCCTTCCGGACCGTCCAGCCGACGACCTTTGCCCAAACCAGCAACCCTCAGCTGCCACCCAAGCATTCCCAAGATTGCGTCCGCTACCAAATCAGGCCCTGGAGCCACCGTCCCAGAAGGAGCCGATCCAGAAGGAGCCGATCCACTGCCCAACCTAATCTGCGCCCGTTTTTGCGTCAATTCTCTCCAACTGGGGTCGTTTCCCCATGGGCTCGAGTCTGGGGAATTCAGCTCCTTTTTGGCCGTAGGCGCCAAGTGTGTAGGCCCGGAGCCGTCATTTGATGCGAGCCGACTGTTGAAAACGTGGGAAACCGCTTTGGGAAGCGAGTGAGTGAGTCTGGCCCACCCCTGTGAGCTACTCGACCAACCCTCGGAGAGACATCGTGGTTGATGGCACCAAAATAGCATATATTGGCTGCGTCATCGGAATCCGGGTCGCCTCTTTCTGGTTGCTGTGCAGAAGCGTATGCGTCTCGAGGCCCTTAGAGCGAGGTGGTTAAAAGGTCGGGATTCCAAACTTTTGCCGCGCCTGATCTCGAGCATCTCGGCAGCTCCTGTAGGCTGTTTGGTGCATTGTACTGTCGTCCGGCGGTTGGTGTGGTGTGAAAGCTTAGGCGTCAATGTTGCAAATCGAAATCACTCCCGGCACAGCCCTTCCACCACCAGGGGCCACAAGTTGTTTATCACTCCTCGATGTGGTGTGGACGCTTGTCTCTGCGTGTGCTTAAGTATGTAGGTAGTGATCGAGTTGCGTTAAACGTGTTTTCTTCTTTCACAAAGGAGTGGGTGTCCCCAGCCAAGACAGCGTGGTGGAGGCGCTGGACGGACCACCTCTACCCTCAGCTTGGATTGACCTCCTAGGTGCAGGCTGGGCTTGTGGCCGCATCTGGTGGCGCCTTCTCGGCGCTGCTGACACGGTATAGAGATACCGAGATTGGGTATCTTCCAGGGGGCGTCACTGGTTGACAGGTGCGGTCGACGGAGCCCGTACGACACACTCGCACCTTTGCTATGAGGTCAAGGTGGCTGTATGAACAAGGGTTTCAGCCAGCCATCAGAAAGGCCCGCCTTCTGACTTCGGCCTCTTTGATGATCTCGGCTGCCAAGCTAAGGCTCGGCGCAAGCAGGGCGTAGCGCTCAATCTCGACCACGACATCGCTAAAGATTTGGTCCAGCGTCTCCCGGTGCGGGACGAGGGTCATCAGGATGCTCATGAGGGATGGTGACATGGTGGCTCCCATAACCAGGAGCGTTTGTGAGACGATGGATAGGGCACCCTGCCACAGGTACGGCATGTGGCCGGCATGACTGCGGTGAAATCAATGCAAGGTTAGATGGGATTTGCAGCTTGGACCTCTCCCAAGGCCACCTCATTGGTGGGGTGAACACGATGGCGGTTGGGAAAAGATAGGGATTGACGCTGCCAAGAAGGAAGTGGGATCAAAAATAACGTACTGGGCAAGAACGTGCTCTAACTGCCGGACAGAGGCCTCGAGACACTTGTGGCAGCTATCACGCACGGCAGGGTCCAACACGGCCTGCTCGTTGTCAAGCACGGCTAGGATGTAAGGCCGGTAGATGATGGTCCTGCAGGCGAAGAAGCGGAGCCGCAGCACCGTCTGTACGGGGTCCGGCAGCATGGTGCGTGTGAAGGGGAACTGCAGCGGCAGCGGCAAGCTCTCATACCACTGCGTGAGCTGGAAGTCGAGCTCAGCCACGACGGGCTCCAGGCTGGTGGTTGAAGCCATCGAGTCCTTGGAATAGATGAGCTGGCTGACCCGATTGAGGAGCCGTCTGAGCGCGATCTCGGCCAAGAAGTACCACAGGTCGTCCCGCCCCACGGCCTCACTCTCATCGCCCTCGAAGCCTCCAGGGAGGCCGACGTTTTCTTCGAACTGGACCACCCCCGAGTGCGGCAGGTCCAGCTCGGCCAGCAGGTCGCTCTCGAACAGCAGCGAGTTCCAGTAGATGCGCTCCGTGAGCTCGCGCTGGTCGGACGGGACCCTACTGGGAGCCATGAGCAGCAACTGCAGCTTGGTGCTCGTGGTACACAGAAGGTTCCACGCCTCCAGCGGGCGCACCAAGTAGAAGAGATATGCCGCGGCAAGTAGATGGCACTGGGCGGCTAGCACACTGTTGGACGTCATCATGCCCGGAAGGAGCGCCCATGCGGCCGTGAAGTATTGAAGGCCCGGCGGGTCCTCGTGGGGCACGATGCGCGAGATGCTGCCCCTCAGGCTCGCCTGTCCCAGAGACAATACCAGCAGCACAATGCAGCTTTCGGGGCCCTCCCTGAAGCCGTTGGACAGCGCGATGCGATAGTGACTCCTCCACGTGTACGGATTCACGCATGCGTACCAGACGTTGACGCGCTCGAAGTAAGCCTCGATATAGGCGGCAGTGTTGGACAGGTCGACGCATGGGGTCTTGGTAAGCGAGTGCAGCGGCTCCCGTGCCATCTCCAGCTGCAGCAGGATCTGGGGATCATAGGGGCGAGAGACCAGGTCGCGGATCAGGGGCCACTGTAGGAGGTGGAGAGCGGCGTTGGTGTGAATCTTTGGCATGGTCGAGATGTTGGTCCCGCTCGTCCAGGTTCCGAGGCCGCCGCTGGGGATGACCGAGACGAAGGCGCCGCCGCCCAGGATGCCGTCGGCGCTGAGGTGGCCGGTGCTGTTGCTCATGTTGGGCGAGTCTCCTAGCGCCAATCCGCTAGGAGTTAGCGTCATCTGCAGCATACTTTCGATTCGGTTGAGGCGCTCGAGTATGAGCTTGTCGCCCGCATCGAGCTTGATTCCGGGCTCGCGGTAGATGCAGTCCGCGCCTAGTTCTAGACACAGCTTGCATTTCGGCTTGGTGCCATCGCAACGCGATTTTCGTGATCGGCATACTTCACACTGGACGGCGCAAGGAAGCAAGACAAGCCAGTTGGGGAAAAAAGATGTCAGTAAGCTGCAAGATCAAACAGAGGGGGTCCCTTCCTCTCGTTTGCGCCGGCACCGGCACAGGTGACCACGTACGGCGATAGTTGCGCGCCGCCTGGGGTAGTCAACCCCGGCGTCAGTGTTCCTCCTCTTGAGTGGGTTGATGCCCTCGTCGCTCGGGACTTTCTGCATCCCGTTGGCCTCGGAGCCGTGGTTCTCGGATGATTGCGACATGTTGCGCGCCTTCTGGAGAGAGCCGAGGATGCCGTCACGGCTGAAGCTGGGGGTTCGTTGGGTTTTGGCCGAGTTGGGAGACTTTAGAGCATGGTTGACCGCATTCAGCTGTGGCGATGGGATCTCGATGGTGAACCCATCGCCTCGTGTCTGCAAGGGGAATAGCCTGGGGTTGGATGCCGTTGTCGTTGCTGTGGCGGTAGCGGAGCTGTGCCCGTTTATGAGGGAAGATGGCGAGTCGCCCGTGGAAGACGGTGGCATGTTTTAGTTACGTGTAGGTAGTTTGGTACCTAGTCAGGGTATCGGGGCAGCACGCAGCCGCGGTCCCGAGGGCTCGAGAGCCGGGCTTGAATGGGTAGAGCAGGGAATCTCGGGCTTCGGCCGCGAGCTCTATCCGTAGATGGTAGCAACGCCACCAAGAGTCTTGGAATTGGGGCTTCTTCCAAGGGCTAACGCCCGTGTTGGCTAGGCTATAGTTGTGCTTCTTACACCGCATACGTGTCAGGCAGAAGATTGGAGGCTCGGGGACGGAGGTTTCACATGGCACCCTGCCATGTACTGGGCAGTCCTGGCGAAAACGACAGTCGGGGGAGATGACGTGAGTGTACGGTAAGGTCAGGTGTGCGCTCAGCCGGGAGGGCCTAGTGAAAGATGGCCAGGAAAAGGGGGGAAATGGAGAAAGAAACGAAATAAAACGAGAGATCGGAAAGAGATCAGACGTAGATGGGTGTCTGAGCCGGCCCGGCTTGTTGTCGGAGACCTTATTGTAGGAGACAATTTGACAGAGCGACGGGCTAGCCCAGCCGGCCAGCCAGATGCGGGAGGTACCTAGGTACCTCGGGACTTCCCCAGCTTAGAGCATGTACGTACATTGTAGACGGGCACCTTCCTTGAAGAGGTGGTGAGGAGAAACACGGGCCAGATGGAGGGTGTGAGGGTGAGTTGAGGTGCAACCAAGAATGAACCTCTACTCCCTGCAGCCAGGGTGGCAGCAGTGGGGCCTGGGGGGCCCCAATCGGTTCTCTGGCTGCACCCCAATGCATGGGACCAAGAACAGTTGATGCTCTTGGGTCTGAGAAGGACCAAATCCGTCCGGAGAATCTCGTTTGGGCGCGTGGGGACGCTGGGCCTGCAAGCAACGACCGCCTCCTGGAGGTACTTCCTGTCTCGCTGTAGGTACGCTGCAGCCGTGTTGGTCCTCATTTCCGTCTTGATAAAACTGCCCTGCCCGCATTGGCTGGTCGAAGGCGCTCGGCTACCGCCTTGCAGTTGCTGATGTACGGCATGTTTGAGGCATGTTATTTTCCCCGAGTGAGAAAAAAGAGCACAGATTCACCTGGAACTGTCCCTATTTCCGCTTCCGTCCGGACCGTTTGGATCGGGGTAGGAGGGGGGGAAAGAAGAGGAAGAAAAAAAAAGACAAAGATTTCGATGATCCCCCTACCCATGCTGATCTCCACCGGACGGACGGCGATCATGGAGGGGTGCCACTGGAGGCTGGATTCCGAGGGATTCCCTCGCAGATGAGACTCCCCAACGTGCGGGCCGAGGTGTGTGTATGCCAGGCATCAATCATCCTTATTGACGTCTGATGGGCCTTTCCACCTAGAACGGCGGCGACGGGATGGGAGCTGAAGCACAGGCCCTCCCTCGCCGACGGCATGTGAGGTGTGTGTCTACTCCCCGGTGCCCCCGGGACTTTGGTACCAGGGTCCACGCTCGAAATATGCAAAAGAAGTCGGGAGAAAAAGACAGTATCTGGTCGAGTAATTTCAAGGTACCCCGGACGATGCCTAGGCTTGGGTGGCTGTGAGCGCGGGAGGACTCGGCACCACAGACAAAGACCTTGTCATCTCCCAGCCATTGTCATCGGGCGTCTTCAGTGTTCAGCAAGCCAGGACGCGGTAGTGGAGAAAGCGATCCGATGGTTCGAACCAATTGCTTGTGATGTGTCGGCCATTGACCCCACATCTCGAGACAGGCCCAGGGGAGGAGCAGCCCACCCCATGATCCCTCTTGCCCTCCAACCTTTCGTTTGCCCATCTGGCTCCCGTCCACAGATCACACCCACGCACAGGCCTGGATTTTCGAGTCCATCTCGAGTCTCCAAGAGCTGGGCCTTGTTCTAGGGGGCTTAAATCCGTGAAAAATGACCCCATCCCAGCGCGCGTATCGGCTGCCGATGTGCTTGACCTCTCTCTCTCCGCATGATTTGCGGATCACGCCGGGAACTGCCCTCATTTGGCCTGGGGTCAAATTCAGGGGCCGGAGTGAAGGGGTAAAAAAGATGATAATAATAATACAAAAGGGCCGGCGCAAGAATCCCGGGCTCCGCTTCTGCCGCTGCTGCCCACTCTAATGCTGCCCTGTTGCGAGTTTTTCTCATCTTGAAAAATGACCAGATGTCAAGTGGCCGAGCAGAGACCTGGTTGGATGGGTCCTAGGGCATGCTTTGGAACGGCCCAGAATGGACGTTGGTCCCGTTTTCTCGCGTCCTCGCTTAGTAGCGTGAACACAGGGGGCGCACGCAACCGAAGGGTGGTGGACGCACGGTGCACTTGGTGCAAAGTGCTGTCGGTTCAACGGCGGCGATGGCGACTGTGGCTGTCCTAACTTAGCAGTCCCCGCAGCAGCTCCACCTCGCTCCGGCGCCCGCGTACACTGGGGCCCCACGTTCCCCAAATGCTAGGGGTCTTTGCGGCAGTTGGTGCGCGTATGTGTCTGTGCCAATTGAATTATGCTTGTGTGCGCAAGGAAAGGAAATACAGAGCAAAAAAGACGGAAGAGAAGCGGAAATTACCAAGTTGCTACACACATCAAAAATAGCAAGGGAGATTCCAACGTGTGTTGTTGCAGCCGCAGAATACCATTCAATGGTACCTACCTACCTAGGCACATACTTCGTAGCCCCATCTAATGACTCCACCCAGTAGCTAGAGCTAGCACCAGAGCTGCTAAAATGGAGAAGCGCATGGCCGCCACTCACAGCATCAAACATTTTCCCCCAATGGCCTGCATGTGAACCAGCATTAAGCATCCGTGGCATCTGCACGAGGTTACGCGATGCCACGACCCCGCACACGACATTCTGGCCAGAGATCAGAAGGGTGCAGGTGTGGCGACGGTGCGGGTGGCGGGATGGATGAGATGGAGACGACGGGTAGGTAGGTATCGGCCGCAAAGTCCTTTCCAGCTGCGACCCACGTTCTCCATGAGGGCCAGGCCAGGCCAGTAGAGACCAGAGACGGCAAGCAAGTCTTCAGAAACGCCCAATTTCCGATTTCCAAACGGGCCGAGGCTGGCCGACTAGCAGTAGCCCC